TATTATAAAACGAAATGTTGTGTGCGGAATAGAGGAATAGCGGAACAGAGGAATAGCGACCGACCGACCGGAATACATTTTGACATGCTCCCTTACTAGAAGAAAATTTGTAAAATTTTATCATAGAACTGTATCATATTTATATATTGTCTATCTGCGAAACATAAGGCGAATGGAGAGTTGTCGGGGACTCCTCGAAGTTTAGGCATTTTTCGGGGATGTTGTTGGGGAGAGTCTACCAGGGTAGTTGCAAAGATATTTACGTCGTTTACATTAACTCTCCTCATAAATTTTCTCGGACATCACAAAAAGCTTCTTTCTACATAATTGTTCTAATATATTATTCTGTTCAGTTTTTTATTCATTTTCAAATAGATTAGTGTTCAGAAAAATTGAATGTATTATTTTCGAGTCATAGTCAAAATATTAAAAAAGTTGTAAAAAGTATGCATGAAATTTTCGAAAAAAAGTTGGAGTACTTAGAATAAAAGAAATGTGATAAATCAGAAGGATACTGCTGCTCTTGAAAGCTAAAAATTCAGATTTTCAGACTATTTCACATAGAAAATCGAATGAAAATAATTTCAAAAGCGAAAAAATTTTGTCAGTCGATAAACTCGATATTGCTGCCTATTTTGACCAAGTATTTTTGTACGGAACACGCCACGACAAAGAAAGATTACCGAAAGTAAGTATTCGTGAAAACTTGTTCAAGATATGGAATTGTAGCTAGTAACGATAGTTTTCTTTCAGGAATTGTTGATCGTTCCAGAGTTATGGGTTCAAACGATAAGCTCGAAAGTGGAATTTTGAAAAAATGGCCATTTTTCATCAATAAATCTCGATTTTGGGCATTTTTAAAAGTATTTTTATTCAAAGTGAATATTATATTTGAAATCAGCATGAAAAACTGACGCGGGAAGGTCCCGAGGTTGGAAATCGCTTTTTCCTTGAAACATACATGATTATAGGTAATCAATAATGCTGTAAGAAAAATTTTGTTATAAGAGAGAAATATGAACTTCTCTTCATTATATCTTAACATGTCTTAATGTTGCCAACTTGGTTCTTATACATAAATGAAATTCTCTACAGAATTATACTAAAACTAAAATGGAACATCATTTTCTAATATGAACAAATATCGGTGACAGTGTTTAGAAATCTGTGTGAAAAAAAAACATCTAATTAAGAATCCCTTTCTTGCCAGTGTATGACATTGTCACCAATATTTATTCATAGTAGAAAATACTGTTCCATTTTAGTTTTAGTATAATTCAGTAGAGAATTAAATTCTCTAGATTTATGTATAAGAATCAAGTTGACAACATCAAGTTACGTTGAGATATAATGAAGAGAAGAACTAAAAACGTTCATATTTTCTGGCACTGATGCGCATCGGTGCCCAGAAAAAAAATTATTCGGCACCGGTGCACACCCGTGCACAACCAGTGCCGATAGAATATTTTTTTGTAGGGTATTTACTTTTCGAATGAAGTCATCATACATGGAATCATTTATTAATAACTAAAAACAATAAAGAATCAACTACTTCGTTTTATTTAGGAAATTATCAGTGAAAATTTTACCAATATGACTTACATGAACTAGACGTGAATGTTCACTTTTATCCACAAGTAACGTTCATCTTCGATTCACTCGACTCTTGACTGAAAAGCTCTGTTCCGACGAGCTGAATCAGAGACTGTCATCACAAAGCTCAGACCTCCCTTCGGTCGGCCGTCGCCGTTTTTTAACTCTTTTTCTAAGCTGTGAGATAGATGTCCCACGAAACCGACCATCTGTATTGAAGGAACTACTAAGCAACGAAGTTCACATGGAGCTAAAGGTAAAAGATTCGTTGAATTGAAAATCAAATCGGACCAAGTCGAATCCAGCAGATAAAAGTTGTGAAATTAAATTTGCCACACAATTGTCTCTAGAAAAACTGTATTTACGATCTTTTACCAGGAAGCTCAGCTTCTAGAAACACAGCTCTAACAAATACTTTTTAGAAAATTAAATTGTGTATCTATCATGTGCAGCACACACTTGACCCTTAGAAATGTTTTTTTCATGGAAAAAATAAGAGTTTATTATATTGTTTAATCACCAAACGGTATGGGTATCCAGTAAAAACTGGCCAGTCAACCAGTATAAGCACTGGTATATACCTAATCTTGGTCTGTGATAGGATGGATCGTGCTGTTGACTGGAAATAAAAGTACAAAGGTCGACACGTTAGTAACAACTAACTAGAAGAAAATTCGTAAAATTTTATCAGAGAACTGTATTCTATTAATATGTTGTCTATCTGCAAAAAAAGAAGGTGAATGAGGAGTTGACAGGGAGTTTTGGGGGAGTGTCACCTAGGGTTATGAAAAGTGACTCTCCTTGGGGATCCGCATAGGAGCACCGGTGGAGGTTCATCGACGTGAAACCACTGGTGAGTCCCCGGGGGACCTTTTTGAAATGGTGGACTCCCCGGAGGAGTTGATGGGAGAGTCTCGACTAGGGAAGTCATGCATTGTAATCCTTCTACTTGTTGTAGGCCTATATACTCAAAGTACACATTTTTCTGAAGATTGCTGGCTGGTTGAAGTTTTTGTAAATTTCTTGTTACGATTATCAAAAAACGTTGCAGAAAACCTTATCGCAGGTGTTTCTGACGTTTTGCTGATGCAGAATCCGAGAAAAATGACTTTTACTACCCTAACAGAACTATCGGATTCCCCGTCACTCTTAATTTGAGCTGATGGACAGATGAGCTTATGAGGTATATTTAAGTTACATCTCGCTATTTTCAGTTTAAATTTTGTCAAAAACAGCTTTGTACACGTTTTCTGGTATTCTGAGTTCAATAATGAGCATAAAAGCCTGCTTTCCGCTGCGTACTATTGTTTATGCCTTACTCTTTAATGAAAACATTAAGCGCTTTGCTGAAAAATGGGAGAACATGTCGTAAAATTTATTCGTCTGTCCATCAACTCAACTTGAGAGTAGTATCGAATCCAATAATTTTGTTAGGTGAGTAAAAGTCATTTTTCTCGGATCAGCTGTGAAGTCAATAAAGACATTTTCTTACATAACTCCACAAACTCTTTAACTATACACTACTATTAACCGAAACGGAAGAGTTGTACGAAATGAGCGACATTTCAGATAGATCTAACCTGGTTGAAATGCCGTTCTAAACAAAAGTTAAGTCAAGAGAAGAAGCGAATCGTAAATGAGCGCTACTTGTATGATTACTTTTTATTGTGACATTTGCGATTGCTTTTTTCCTCAATAACGATGCGTCTTCCTTCCATTATTTACCCCCTACGACTCATCTGACCAATCACCAAACTTAAGTCTTAAGCAAGTTTTCTTAAGCGTTTCTTACTCTTGAAAGCCGGTCTTGTTTCTTTCTCCTTAAGACAATCTATATCTGCATAAAAATTTCACATATTAATTAGGATACGAAAGGCTTGCAATGATTCGGGCAAAAATCGCAGAACGTTGTACTATCGAAGGAGAGTGTTACATTTTTTTGATTTAATATAACTTAGAAAGGTGTTTTACTTGCAGGAATAGACAAATATTTTCTTGTTATAAATTGTCATCTTACTACTTTGAATCCAACCGTGAGTAAAAAACTAAATTTAGTTCTGAATTTGTCATTACGCTTTTAGATGAATAAATTCATTCGCGTATGCCAAAATCTATTATTTGTTACAAAGTCCATTGTGACAACATCTCCCCTATTAAGTCAACAATTCTTAAATCAAACGTGTTCCGTTCGTTTATTATCGTTATCATCGATTAAACACAAACGATCTCATACAAATATTCGAGATGGGGCTGTGCGTGAGTTGAAACTACGTCCTGAGAAAACACAAACTCCATTATCCGTGAACGTTGATGAATATTACGGTGGTAAAGGACAAGTGAGAGAAACAGATTTTGAAACATTGTTCGGCGATGAAAATATCAAATACGAAGATTTACCTATTGTACACATGAAATGCACGAGAAATAACACCCACATTGATGTGACAGCACCGGATGGTAATCAAATATTTTATGCGACATGTGGTATTGTTGGTTTTCATAATGCTAAAAAAGGAACAACAACTGGTACGAGATTGTAAATGTATCCCTTAAAAACGGTTATCCTTAGTTTGTTCTTGCTCATATCTAGCTGCTCAAGCTGTTGGCACATATATGGGCAATCAGTTACAGAGAAGAAACATTAAAACCGTGCGAATTGTCGTTAAAGGTATATTGAAAAAGAATGAAATTAATTGTGACATTATAAATTAGAATCTTGATTATTAGTCAGTTTGTAATAGTTCTGGTGTAAATCTTCTCTTTTTCGGCGATTCCCGTGTCAGAGTAATACAGTTTGAAATACTGCATTGAGAACATCCTCCTTTCGCTTCTGACATCGAATATTTATGGTGAAACAATAATAAGACTAACCTTGGTTCTAGGAATTGGCCCTGGGCGTTTAATGGCCATTAAAGGATTACAAATGACTGGTGTACAAATAATATCGATTACAGATAATACAAAAATACCTGTACTATGGAATAACATTGATAGACCGAAAAAAATGAGAAGAGTTTAGTTCATATTGTTTCATGCCTGTCTTTCTTTTATAAATAAATTTAGCTTCATGTTTTCGTAATTATTTCATTCTTGTCTTTTACGAAAATTTTTTTTATTCATCGTAGAATGTATAGCTGCATGCGACACCTTCTCCGTCTTTTTACACTAACAAGTTTCACCCCATTTTACACTCAGTTTTCCTTATCTGTTCTGCACATTAGCGACATGTTCTTTTCTCCGTAGATGATCTGAAATATTCAGACAGAAAGCAACGGTTTTCGGTTGTCTTTAGTCATCATCATTAAGAGTTATGATATATTATTTATTCATTATTTTAGATGATACATTAACTAATATTTAAAAAAGTATTTAATATGTCAACAAATCTGGTATCCCCAACATCTTATCGTTCATCGCATACTCCAGCAGTCACACGTCGAAAATGGTTTATAGATTTACAGTTCCGTAAAAGTGATCGTTTAGCAACCGCAATGTCCTCTTCGTTAGTTTCAGCTTCCTCGTCGAATAACTATGATTATTCTTCACCTGTGGGTTATAGTGATCAACGTATACCAGATGTTACAGCTCAAGATGAAGACGAACGTCTATTTGCCAAACGATCATGGGATATAGCACTTCAACCCATTAAACAATTACCAATGAATTTAATATTTGCTTGGATGGCTGGTAAGATTACATTAGAAGAAAGAAGTCAGTTTGACAGAAAAAAACTGTTCTGCTGCACTACAAAAATTGTGCACCTGTCATTCAAAGCTTCTTCTATAAATTTTACTCAAGATACTTTTGAGTTTAACTGTCGATATTTATTATCACTATAATTATTTTTGTATTCATCCATTTAGGTAATTCATTTTCATTGATGTCTATAATGATTGTTGTTATGCTATTTATGAAACCTATTCAAGCAATATTTTCAATATCATCGGCGTTTCAATCAATTGAAAGCGAAGGAATGATTGGAAATGTGGCATTTCATAAACTAATCTATTTTCTAGGAAACTTAACTCATTTGGCACTTGCCCTTTATAAATGTCAATCAATGGGACTATTACCAACGTATGCATCAGATTGGATTGCATTTGCCGAGCCACAATTAAATTTAGAAACAACGCTTGGAGGATTAACATATTAAAGAATATTAATCTCACTTATCTGTTTTTAATGTATTCTTTTCTTGTTGTATATGTCTGTTCGATTTGTTTTAAAACATAGGTTGTGCCTCGTATGACTTCAGTAATTTTACTTTTCATTCTCTTTCATTGTATCAGAAGACAGTTTTGTTCGATTATTTATCAATCATTAATGTGAACATGAAAGTCATTTTTTAATTTTAGTTTGAATGCTTTAGAAAATATCGAATGCCATGGCTTTGCACTGGAGGAGACTATCTTCATGTTCCAAATTACATGTATTTGCCATAATTTAAAGACGTATTTTTGTTTCTTTTTTTTGTAAGTAAAACAGTAGTTTGAAACCAATGATGAAACCAGTACTTCTTTGCGGAGAAGGCTGTTTGTTCGAGAAAAAGTCAGTTTTGAAATTAAGTATACGATACGATATCAAATCCTGGTTGAATAATACATATATGTCTATCAGTATCAAATTGTGCGACTTAATAGGAAAAAAATAAGACAATATATGCGAACAGCACTCGGAAAACAAAAAATGACTTTAGAAAGCCTCACGAAAAAAAGGTATGCCACTTCCTCAGCAAAAACTGAAAACATGACGCTTATGTTGCTATATCAGAGTTAGCGGTTTTTGATGTGTCCACGTTCGAATAGCAAAATCAAACGCCAATCGCAGTATCTGCCATAGCTTTTCTAAATTTAAATGAACAAAAGAAACAGCGTTATTTCAATTGTTTTCAAGGAAATTTTCAGGCTTACTCTGTCAAGCTGTTGTCTCCGTTGGTATGGAATTGACAGTGAAAACGTTTTAGTCTTCGTCAAAAGGTTGTTGGGAAACTGTTCAGAAGAATGAAATGCTAACATATTTAATCGTCTTCCATAGCATGAAGAAAATTACGTTTAGTTCTTCTGTACTGTCTCTAGCATGAAGAATGATCTCGTGATTTATGTGGCGAAAGAGATAAGGTAAGAAATTTTGTTAAGAAAACTTTAAACAACAAAGTAAAGTTGTAAGAGACGACTCCAAAAACTTGAACTGAGAGAAAAGATTTGATGATCATCTTATGTCACCATATGCATCTTTTGGATGATCATTATTATTTTATCTTCATCCTTTGTCACCAATTTGTCAAAAAAACTACTACTGCTTTTGCTTTTTCAACGACGATAAAACGATAGTCTTGCTTTCTAAAGACGCATTTTCAAACAGCAATTTTGCAAAGTTTTTTCTTTAGTTAAACGAATTGCGTTTCATTACGTTTCTTTTTCTAGCTGTGATTTTGATAAAAATTCTTATGACATGATCACTATTAAATGCATCTTTTCTTTTTCTATGCGTAGATGTTATGAACTAAAAATACTTTTCATCATCAAAACATTTTGACGGCACTATAGGACACACGTTTGCTTGTTTCTTTAATCATCTTTTCGATTTCGTCGGTTCTTTGTTTCACTATAGAAGAAAAGAAAGACCATTTTGTCCAGTATTATGTTTGTTTTATAGACAACATACATTCTAGACAGTCGTTCTGTTTTTTTTACAGTAAAGAGGAAAAGCACTCACTATTGAAGGATACCGGATAACATACATTTTCGTTTTTCATACGCTTACTTCAGTTAGAAGCATATTTTAAATCTAATTCCTTTTCTCAGTTTCTTTAGATTCACAAGTGAAATTGTAATATATGTTACTTACTGTTTTGCTCGATATTTTTTTTGAAAAGTACTAACGTTTCTCTTATACCACTATTTCGCGAAGAAAGATTGTTTAGTATGTGAGAGAGCTACTGGCATTTCTTTTTATTATTCCAAAAAGTAGATTTTCATTTTTACTCGTTTAACTAGGTGAAAACGTTTGCAAGCGTTGTTTTCGAATTTTAGAGAAGTATGTTTATACTGAATACGCTTATACTACGAAAAGGTTATGCTAATCTAAAGTCATTAATGAGAGTTTCAGAAGAAGTTAAGACTAACACAATGATTGTACTAATTTGTCTTTCATATTATCAGATAATAAGTGGGAATAAAAATAGAGTATGGTTACTCGTTTTGAACAATTAGCTAGTGAAACTTTATATGAAATATTTTCTTATCTATCATTTCCAAATGTGTTGACTTCATTTTCAAATTTAAATTCAACGTTAACATCGTTAGTAAATGCTCATCATATATGGATTAATTTATCAAATATATCATTGACAACATTCGACTATTATTGTCGACATATTTTACCATCTCGAAGAGAACAAATTCATGGTTTAACACTATCCAATGAGCAAACTGTTTCTGAAATAACATTATTTATATCTATATTTTATCTTATACGATTCACAAAACTTCGATCATTAACATTAATTGAACCAACACAAGATGAGTTTCAACATATAACAACAACCATATTAAAATTGCCACAATTAAGGCATTTATCTGTCACATGGAATGATGATCATAAATTTAGACAAATTGGTCCAACGATATTTAAACCAATTTTATTAGAAATACGTACATTGAAATCATGTGAACTATCATTTTTAGATACAGGTAAGAAATGGCGTACTCTGTTCGCTCAGTTTATTCCTTTATTTATGCAGATAAACAGCATTTTGACGATTGCTATTACCTTGGTCTACTAACTCTATTTTAACTCCGATAAAAATATTTTCTTGTTTCGTTTATAAAAATGTCGAAATTGTAAAATGTTCAAAGTCGTGGAGTTGAAGTTGAAAAACCAGTTTAACTATAGATTTCTAAAAACGCAAGTTATAAAATGCTCAACTTCAGAATTAGAGTTGCTTATTTCCTGTTGTTATTGACGATCTCATACCTGTCAGAAATAACAATTTTTATCAAAAAGTATCGATTTTTAGAAAAGTACGTGATGTGGTAGCCTAAAGTCCCCTCGCTCGACTGCACTCTTTTTTGTTTCCAAAACATGTTTTCAAGGTTTTCTCCAAAAGTCCTCAGCGACAGTTACATTAGTCAAAAAAGTGGTCGTTTTAGGAAAATAATGTCTGCACAGATAGATATCTATGCAGCATACATGCACGTCAGATTTTTTGTAATAAAAAAACTGTAGAAAGCTACACAGAAGTTTCTTTTGGGGTTAAACGTTCGCACAGTACGACACGAAACGATAATTGAAAGGTAAAAAATAAACTTTTTGTTAAAATAAAAGTGATTGCGATTTTCGCAAAATTGCCCTTTTGGGTTGGTTTTATAATCACAAGAATATTTGTGGCTATAACGTAACCGAGCTGAATATTTTATTTTTATTTTACTTTTAGAGAAAAATAAAGATTTCCGAAAAATTAGATCAGATAGAATTAAATTAAACTTATTAAAAACTTGATTTTAAAATCGCTGGGGAAAACGAGTAAAAATATTTTACAGATCTGACTCTGTTAGATCATAACCACAAATCTTCTCATCACTTTACGATCAAGTCGGGTCTCGCAGTACTTGAAATAGAAGAGAATCCTGGGAAATGGTAACATCTAATTTTTTTATCACTACTTTTGAGATAACTTTGGGAAAACGCATCTTTTCAAGCTTAAATGTTTAATTTATTTTAATCTATGTCGGTCTAAGATTTTACGAGAATTTCATCAGAATCCCGTGTTTTATGCAGAAAATAGATTTTCTGACAGGGGTCTTTAAACGCTTTAGTGTATACTCATTCTTCTCCTGTCCTATATAGCGGTCTTCCCATATCTATTCGCTTAACTCATTTGTTTTTTTCAGCTTATTTTTTGTCTAGTGTCGAACAAATGTCATCAACAATTCAATATTTAACTATTCATCGATGCGATATCGATTGCTTATTCCATGTACTCGACTATTTTCCACAATTGAAGAGTTTATCAATACAAGATCGGGTGACAGCAGCAATAAAAGGATTAACAGACGATGCTTACAAACGAATAAAAGAAACAACACCTGCATCAAGCTTAACATGTTTAAAAATTCGTGTGTTCAATGTTGAATATCTATTTATTGAATTTCTAATAGAAAAATGTCCAAAATTGAAAAAACTGGCATTTTCATTCGTTGGAGATTCTGGTTTGTATTAGTAGACACGTTGATGAGATTTGCGGTCGTAAAGGTGGTCCTTTATAACTGCGTTGTAATTGGATAGGTTCATGTACTAGGAGTCAACTTTAGTTGTGAATCTGTTTGTCCGTCTTAGTTTGGAAACTTCCACTTCTAAGTGGTCTTTCTCATTTAGGCCTTGATTTTTTGGATAACGATCGGTGGGAGTGGATTGTTCAATCGTTAAGTTTTTTAAGTGTCTTTCAACTTTATATTGAAATATGGGATATTATTGAGAGTGAAATGGAATATTTAAATTATATGGTTGATCGATTTCAAGATCAATTTTGGACATCTCGTGGAATTTATTTTATTTATGATTATTATCATGATACTACTGCTAATCAATTAAATTTAATTGTCTATACCCAAATATATCCTGATATTGATTTTAGTACACAATGGGGACAATTAAGGTTACCTTTGTCACCATTAACAACACGAACAACTTATGTGAATGTTAAAACGTTAACACTACTCATATTAAACACACAACAAATGGTAGATGAATTAAAACAACTAAACAGTCGATATTATCCGAATGTTGAAAAATTAACGATTAAATTCGAGAAAACATCAGGTTTACATCAGTTCGGCTCTTATATAGGTAAGTAAAAAGACGTTAACTACGTGCGAGAAGATCCATAGTGATATATCAAAAATGATCCTTGCTATACGTTTCAGAATGTATCATGTTAATTTAAGAACAAAGAACGTTTTTTCCAATGGGATACAGTGTGTCCCAAAACTGATAGACCAGAAAGGCAAACTTTTTTGTTTCTGGTATATCTACGAAACTAAATGAGCTAGAAGGCTGCGGTTTTCACCATATCGTTACTCATGGAGTCTAGTCTATATGTGAATATTTTCATCTTGAAATTCCAAGTTGTTAATTTTTTAATGAAAAAATAGTCAGTACACGTGCTTTTTTACTGTTCCAAAATAGATAGACCAGCAACGTAGAAAACGTTGCTGAACGTGAAAGAGCACGTTTACGACGAATCAAATATATCTTTCTTTCAAAGTTGACAAAAAATTCTGCAAAAAAATGAGCTATTTTCCGAGTTAGATACTTCAAGAACAGCTAAGTTATAGATACTATCTTTATCTGGTCTCAGAGAATGTCGCTTATTCTGTGGATAATAGAAGAAAAAGCATGTTTCATTTTTTTGGGAGAATTGATGAGATAAAGATAGTATGTGTAACTCACTTGTTTTTGAAGTATCTAACCCGGAAAATAGCCCATTTTGTCAGCTTTTGATCCTACTATGTCAAAAAAATCTAGAGAAGAAACTTAAGGTAAAAAAATGCGAAATATAATAGATGTCATCCAGAGACGATGAGCAGAGCAATTAGCAAATCAATTAGAATGAGCGGACAAAATGGTCTATTTTTTCGTTTAACAATTGTTTCTGATGTAGTTTTTCACGCTCTTTCCAACCGTATATTTGGAACTGAGTTTTGCTCAAGTTTAAGGGTCAAACAGCGCGTTTTAAGTGAATTTCATGATGGCATCCGGAATTTTCAGTTTTCTGAAGAGAACTGAGAAGAGAAGAATTTTTTCATTAGAAAGCCGAGACTTTGCTCTTTCGAATGATATATTTGATTCATCGTAAACGTGCTTTTTCACGTTTTCTACGTTGCTGGTCTATCTATTTTGAAACAGTAAAAAAGCACGTATGCTGACTATTTTTTCATTAAACAATTAACAACTTGGAATTTCAAGATGAAAATATTCACATATAGACTAGACTCCATGAGTAACAATATGGTGAAAACCGCAGCCTTCTAGCTCATTTAGTTTCGTAGATATACCAGAAACAAAAAAGTTTGCCTTTCTGGTCTATCAATTTTGGGACACACTGTACAGTGATCTTTCCGCTAAGAAAAATTCCCAAAAGCTTATCTGTCATAGAGTTTGAATTTTTGAAAAACTAACTTCAAGATTAATATTTCTACCTCAAACAATTTTTATTAGATAAATTTCAACAACTAACGTTAGTTAAACGGCGTGAAAAAAAAATTTTGAATATTTTTCAGCACTTATCCATGTAAATTGTTTTCGTCGTTTAGACTACAAAAGAATAAATTTGTAACTAATAATTTGTCACTTATTTTTTAATATATTCTTATTTTTGTTTTAGACAAACTTATTCGTTTATCAAATATAAAACATTTGAATATCGTTGATCGTTGTCATTCATCTGCAACATTATTCGAAATTGTTCGCCGTTCACCAAGACTGTGTACATTAACGATAATTCAAAATCAAAAATTATTAAAACAAATATTTGAAAATAAATTATTATGTTTATATTTGAAACCAATGATACAAAATTTGAATATAATGTATAGTAGTCGAATGACAGTTGGTAAGTATTCTATTCATTCATACATTGAATGAATCTACTATATAAACTTATTAATATAATTTTTTGACTATTTTAGATTTATGTGAAACAATCTGTAATACATTTGTGAATTTATATTCATTTTCAACATCAATCGATTTACCTGATGATTTTGAAGATGTTATACCATTAGTTGTAAAAAAATTAACAAAACTAAAATATTTTCATGTACTATTGAATGAAGATCGATACAATTTTCAACATAAAGATATGGATAAATGGATTAAATCGGTTACATCATTAAAAAATTTTCGTGTAACAGTATCTGAAGATTATCGTACAGCACATATATGGATTTAATTATTATTCATTAATTGTCTGATTAGTAACAAATCTTTTATGTTTTTAATTTTTGCCCTTTATTTTACTGTTGTTACTGTTGCAATATTAAGTTGCTATAGTAAAATAGGATGTTGTTTTTCTAAAATGATTTGTGTTTGACCTATGTTGGTGATTTATTTCAGTCAGTTTTCATCCAACTAACTCGTATAAATTTATTTTTAATTGTCTGTATTCATATTTTCTATATTACATGTCTCTATATGTTTATCCACTTGTTCATTGAAAGAGCATTGATTTTACTGTTGTTCTCTAACAATGTCATTTTTTTTTCCCCGTGTGAATGTCAGAAACGTTGTCGATATGTTAAAATACATTGTATTGTGAAAAGGACTTCATTGTTGAAGTACGTTTAATATCATTTTTATCGTTGTATATTGGTTTCTGAAAAATGTTTCACCGTTGTTTCTTCATAGTATGTGTGTGCTATTTCTCAACATTTTTTATTGTTTTGCTCTTTTTTTTTTGCTGTTCAGATGAAAATAAATTTGTTCCATATAGACAGATATTAAATATCAATGATTTTATCAATCAACAATATTCGAAAGAAGCATTTATTTACATACAATCATATCTGAATATTTCTATTGTCTATAGAACCATATATTGTAAAAAACATAAATTCTAACGCATAATTCCTATGAAAACGAACAAGCCAGATCATTAAAAAAATAATAAAATGAAATAAAAAACAACTATCTATCTCAAACAAATGAATGATTGTTTGACTAGCGACAAAAAACTTTTTTTTTAAATTTTTTTCTATTCATTTTTACAATTCAACTTAGAATAATATATATTTTAGTTTTTAATTATGAACTGGTTTATGGACTAGAGAATGTGCAATCCAATCAAGAAATCGTCTAGTATCATTCCTAGCTAATTCAATTTTTTTTCGATATGTATTTAATGCCATATGCATTTCACATGGTTTATCCGTTAAAAATAGAGCTTGTCGAATATAATTTAAATTTTGAATAGAATTTAATAATGGCATTTGTTGATAGATACATAAATATAACAAGCCAAATATAGCTGAGGCATTTTCTCTTAATAAACGAAATGTTTCTAGACAAATATGTATAAATTCTTTATAATGTTCATTCTCTTTTAAATTTGACATTTGACGATTTGTTATTACATAGAGAAAGTGATCAACTAAAATGATAGACGTTGTTTCTCGAGCAACCATTCCAAATTTAACATAGTCACCTAAAATGTGACCAAAATCAATGTGAAATAATTGACCTTCATTTGTTATCATTATATTTGATGGATGACGATCACCTAAACCAATAACATATCCAGCTGTACAATAAGCAGCACACGATTTTCTAAATTTATTAAGAACATTAGGTGGAACAGATCTATTATTATCAATTTCTTGAAGATGACGAATTTTTTGAATTGTTGGTGGTAATTTTCCTTGTTCATGTACTCTAGAACAAAGAGAGATGATAAAAAAAGATTAATAATTTTTAAAGAATATACATACTTTGATATTGATTTGTTAGAATTGACTGTACAGTTGTTTGCTAACCAATTATAGACAACTGTATGTTTATAGGTTGTTGTTGTATTGAATTTATGATAAATATTCAAGATGGTATGAGCATTTGGTACTATTCGAATATAGCCAGTTTTATCTGATGTACACAAAATATCATAAAATGTCATATATAAATTTAATGATTTCTCATTTTGTTGTTGTTTCCAAATATTATCAAATAATCGAAATAGTTGTAAAGTAAGAACATCTTGTCTTAAATCATCACCAATTTTATAAATAATTTCAAATTTTTCACGTGAATTCAATGCATTTAACCAGACTAATTTAAATGGTTTCATAAATGAATCAAATACATTACATTCATCTATCAATAATTCACCGTATAAACATGAACTATCAAATGGTGATACACAACACCAAGTATTTGGATTTTGTTCTTTTAAACGGAATAATAATTGCTGTTTTAATTCACTACTCGATTTCTTCGATTGAGATTCACTTCCATGACGATCAATACCACGTATACGTTGATTTATTGTAGATAGACGTAAACTAATTCTCAATTGTGTTTGAAGATCATTAAATATATTGATACCACAATATATTTTATATAATTCGAGTAATATTCTACCATTTCGACTAAAAATGTTTGGTGCTGTTTTTTGTTCCGGTGATTTGACTGTTAAATAATCTGGAGATGTAATCGATGCTGATAATGTTGATTGAGTTGTAAGTGACCAAAATAAACGTTGACCTATTGTTCGATTGCATAGAGAACGTTTTAGTATGAGACGATTTAACGGTGTATCTACATAAAGTTCAAAATGCATTGCCTGAATTATTTGAGGTAAATAGAATATAAATTCATGATCAGGTAATTGTTCTAGTTTAGATACACTGTATGAACGTATACGTCCATCAGGTAATGTACAATCGAGAAGAAAAAAAGACATTTCCATTGAGATTTGAGGCCATAGTTCAATTAATTTATAAATATAAAATAGTTTATCGTATGGTAGCAAAGATAATGTAGATTGACTTATTGTTGTATGAATTTGATTGACAGCTGAATGAATAACACATGGAAGTGAATCAATAGGTGCTGATGACCAATCATTTTGTTGAGAAAACCATGATGGTTCAGGTACATCATATTCGGTCTAAAATGAAAATAGTATTTGAAAATAGATAAAGATAATAATTGATCATTATGACAACTTACTTGTTCACTAAGAATTCCTAACAAATAGTTTAATGCTTCACTATTTCCTGTATCATTTATCTGTCGTTTAACTGATGAAATAGATGTTGGTCGAGGAATATCTATTTTACTTAATTCTTTGTCTATTTCATCCTGCGTATAAAATCTTATACAATCGTAATGTTGTGAAAATTTTATTTTAATTTCATAATGTTTATCATTTGTTATTGATGCACTTCCAATAAATGCACTTGGATATAAATGATGTGTAGGTATTAGATTATGAGCTGGATTAAATAAATACTCATATGTACCACTCATTAGATAACCGTTTGAACGAAATATACTCAAATTTAAAAAATATGTTTCAAGTTTTTTTAATGACGCTACTGATGTTAATGATAAACACAACAATGTACCAGGTAATAATTGACAAAGTTTTAATGGTGTTATAATTGGAATTGATTCTAATGTTGTATTATTCCATGTGATATCATCATTTTGAAATAAACGACGACGTCCATAATAGAGACCCAAACGAAATGTGAATGTTTGCTGTTTTGCCGATGATGATGGTGGTAAACGAAAATGAAAGCCAAAATTTTCATTATTTTCACTTATTAACTGTGGAATCTGCCTAAATTAAAAATCTAGTAAAATTTGTACAAAACACGATAGAAATTTTTATACACTGTTGACAAACAACAATGAATTATCAGTGTTGTCTAATAATAAAAAAACTTGAAAAAGTTGAGATGAAAAAACAATTTTTCGATTTAAATATGATCAGAGAAAAGAATATCTCTTTTCTACACTCTCAGTAGTCCTAAGAAAAACTTGAACGAATAGTCGTAAAACATGCTACTATGAAACTTAAACAAGATCTTGGTAGATCGGTCCCTCTCCCATCTCAATTCATAATGATTTATACTCAAACCTAATCGTTCTCTGTCATTATATCTATTTTAATTATCTACTGTGCGCGTATGAGTCAAAAGATAAATAGATTTCAAAACATATGGAAAAAAATATGCTATTTCCAAAATAGCTCAACAAACACAGATCAATTAAATTTTTGTCTGATGAAAGGGCACATCTACACAATATACTGAACATAAAGTGTGAAGAAAACATCTTGGGCAGATGTACCATTGATAGAGAAGTGTGCATGACAAAGCTTATTTAAATTTATCTTAGCTCATTTATAAAAGATCACATATACTAATAGCTTAACCTCTGTTCGAGCTAAAGCTGCGAGACAGGATAAAAAAGATAAAAAGATTCTAGATAATCATATGAACGATTAGTTCTCTGCAAAAAGAAAAATGCTTCTATTATATCTAAGATTTTCATCATAGAAGCATTGATCTTACAAGAAGTCGATGTTGGAAAAAACATCATACGAAATGGACTTTATTATTCGTTACACGAATCGGTTAATCTAACAACACAAACTTCATCTTTGTCATAAACTATGTATTCTTGACACATACCGTTGATTTGTTTGTGGATTATTCTGCATAAAAATATTTGGTTCAATAAAAGTCACCTTTTCTTTAACATTTTCTTTTGGTATTTCGATTTGCATTATTTCGACATGAATTTCTTGATTTTTTATAAGACATTCTTGTACATAAGAATATTGTAAAAGTGGATAATTATTATTGCTTAATAGTTCATTTCTATAAGAAAACCTCAGTATTTGTTCAGTACATGAATTAAAATAATCGAAATTTTTTTGTCGATATACATCATCAGTTATAATGTCTCTTAATAGATCATTTGGTTTCATTTGTTTATCACATAAAAAAGATTTATCTAAACGTTTAACGTAAACAGGAAATTCATCGATATTTGACAGAGAAGAATTAGAAATTAATGGTGGCGCTTCAAGAATATCTTTTGCAATTGTTGAATCACGCCATTTACATAAATTATCGGAAAAATAATTCAAATGATCTAGATCAAAACGATCTGAGACACTAACCCATGGACATAATTGTTTTTGTTCACCTTTATCAATACGTAAAAATGCATAAACGAGACCAATTTTTTCAATGGGTTGACTTTCATCTAAAATAACATCACCATCATCATTATTTGACGTATGTGTAATAGATGAAAATTGATATGACCATGTAATATTATATTTTTTCTTCAATGTTAATCGAATATCTTTCAAATTTTCATCTGGTTTTTGATCTAACTTTATGACACGTCCATTTGGTAATAAAATATCAATTGTCTTAGATAAAATAATATTATTAATTTCATCTTTATCATCGAATGGTGTTATATAGCATTCACTGGGAATGTAATAATCACAATTCGGTAATTCGTCTACCATCTGAAATAATAATCAACAATTAATTATGAATGAAATACAATTGCAAAGCAACTGTTTTTAATTACTCATAATGATTTCTTGAGAAATGAATTTTTGTTAAGATAAATCATAAAATTTTGCATCATTAATAAAAAAAACAATATAAGTTTTTAAACTATTTATTTTCATCACGACATTTATCAGTCATGGTGATGATGACATATAAGAATAGAAGTAAGTATAACAGTTGAGTGTGTTTATTATTCATAATATGTGCTTCTCTCTCAATTACTAAAACAAAAAAGAAATTTTGAAAATCGTCATATTAAATGGAAGGTCATAACATCTAGATTAAAATTATTTTCTTGTCTACTATTCTTAGATCTCTTTAATATGTCATTTCGAAACAAATAAAGAATTTATTTTAAAGGTGACATACGTGTTAAAATATGATCATCAAGATCTGATCAGGAAACAAATCACTGTATAGATGAACATGTTGTTTGTCTTAGAGAATATTGTATAATTTGAAAATCCTTATCACTAATTATCAACATATCGAATAAGGAGAATATCTGAATTATTTTTATCAGTATAGAATGAATCACGATTATTTTTTATGTTATTTTTGAGAAAAGAGTATGTGAATGTGTGTAGTCTATATAGAATATAACTGAAAAGAAACAATTCAAGTTTATGAATAACAGAACGAAGAAAAGAAAATGACACCTCATAGTCTAATGTTTGCCTTAAAAACATATGTTTGATTTTCTCTCTCTCTCTCTCTCTCTCTCTCTCTCTGTAATCGTAGAACGGAAAAAAAATATCTATATAGGTGCATAGTCTGCTATACAAATAGAAATGTGAGATTAAAAAATTTTACTATTCTTGATATGTCGGGTCAATTGATTAAATTTTATACTGCGTATAGTAGCAACTCGAATATAAGAAAGAATTTAGCATAAATCGAGAGGACATCTATGTTTTGTGAATATTCTTATAATTTGAAAGTGTCAAAAGAATAGTTAAAACTTCAATAGAACAAGAAAAACTATAGAGATTGAGAGTAGAGATGTGAATTAACCTAAAATTTGGCAATGAAATATAAAACTTAAAACATAATTATTGAACGTTAGTATTTTCTAAAAGAAAATAAAAACAAATACAACAATTTTAGCAAATATTATTATTTCATGAAAGGAACTTGATCCTCATCGTTATGTTTATTCAGAAAACGAAAATGACAACTAACTCTCCAATCAATAAGTCTTTATGTATATATAGACAAGATGGACATGTAAAGTACGTTGAAATAGGACAAATATCGTAATAGGAAAACATGATGTAATATAAACAATGATGTGATAAATAGGAAGAGGTGATGAGCTAGTGATTATATGAGAGATAAGGAAATAGTTTTCTTATATAACAAAAACAATAAACATTTTTTAGAGCAGACAAAAATGATTAGAAAAAAGTGATATGATTAATTCGTACATGATTAATTCCTTGAATTACGATGATTAAGAGAAATTTTGATTGAAGTCCTTCCACCGTGCGCATGGTAGAAAATTCGACTTTTATCAAAGATATTGATTTAGAGATAAACACATGATCAAATAGGTTAATATATCGGCTTTCTAATGTACCAATTTTTGTCTTTAAACATGGTTTTCCAATAAAGTTTCTAGAAGTTCTAGACCAAACAAACTTGATATTATCAATTTGTACTTTTCATGCTAATTTCTTGACTTTTCAAATTTTGAAGGATGAAAAATCTGCTAGACATTCAAATAGTTTCTTTACTAAAATATGATACTTTTCACAAGCATCTTACAATAAGAAAATGTTTAAAATATTCAAGTTTTGTTAGATCTTGGAACACAAAAACGTCGCTAGATGTATATATACATATATATGTCCAAAAGCAAATCCATAGTCAGAATATGTTTTGACTTAAGCTTCAAATTGTTTTTTTTTTCAAAATAAGACGTTGATTAATTAAACATCCAAATTATCAGTTAATAAATCATATGTAACGAACGCTATCTATATAAAATATTTATCATATTTATTAATTTTCTCATTTATATGTGTAACACAACTATTCTATCTATAAATGAACGACGTATATCTTCTAAATTTAAGAAGTTCAATCAACTTACGTCATCTGACGTTTTAATCAAATATCAACGATAGATGACCATTTATGATATGTTAGTTTTAGATTGAAAAACTTGCATGCTGTTACAAAAAAATTACGGCAATCAAGTTAAGAAAAAGTTTTTCAACTTAATGATAAAAACAAAGTTATTCATATGGAAAACTTCGATTGAATTTAGTCTTGATTCGTCCCTAATTGCTCACTCTCACTTTTGATGACGCTTTTGATATTGTTTGATCTTAAAAAGCCAAAAGTTAGGGACCAAATGAGAAGATCATCCTTTGATTGTATTAACTGATTTATGTTTCAAAACGTTTTAAGTGAAAAGGAGCAATTTTTGTTGAATGAATAGAATATGGACATTATCTGAGAAAAAAAAATCATACAAACATAATCAGCAGTTGCAATAATGGCAAATACAAGCTCTTAGAATCAGCTCAAATATCACGAAAAACCATGATTTAAATTTAGTATAATTAATTTATTATTTTTTAAATTTGACGATATCTATGCATATGCACAGAAACAAAACATATACTAAAATACAAAGTTATTCTCGTTCATCTAACGATGACGTGATCGTGAAAAAAACAACGACATCCACATAAACAAACAAATGATGACAATAAAGAGAGAGAGTGACTAACGATATAAAATTATTCTAGGAGATTAAATGGAAAAAGAAAGAGTTTCTATGACGTTCATATGTGAAATTACAACATAAATTCACTGTATATGATAAACACACACATGCACGTGATTTGTATAAAAAAAAGAAAGAAAAACATGAAACAGATAGAATAGAGAGATACATGACAAAATAAAGATAATTGAAAAATAATTATTAACGCCATTATCTGACGTGCCGAGAAATAAACAAGTACGACAAAGAAGAAAGAAAAAATTACCGGTAGTAAAAAAATAAATAAATGAAAATGTATCTTTTATTCGGCTGTTAGTGGAACAAGATCTTCTGTTGTTAATAATTGATTAATCTTAATTATATTTGAACACCGTGTTCTTGTATTGTATGAATGAGTATTAGATTTAATTGATAATGGTGGTGAAGAAAGTTTTTTTTTAAATAATGATGAACGATATGATTTTCGATAATCTGATTTTTTCTCATTTATTTGTGACTGAAATTTTTGTTCAATAGATGATACAATTGATAATACTACAGTTTCTGTTGTGGTTCTAATATATTGTTCGATAACATTATTAATTATGGATGATAATAACGATGAAATTTCTGTTTCTAATTGTAATGATGTTTCTGATATCAGAGATGAGTCATCAACAATGGTCATCATTGGTGAAGGATGCATCACGTCATATGAACGATGAGCGTTCTCACCTATAACATAAATAAATAAATAAATACGATTATTGAACAACAAGTTACTACGTCTTCTTGTATTGCATGTATTAAAAATTGAAATGCCAAAAAGTCTATCACAAATGAATAATTTCATTTGTTCAAAACATATTCAACAGATTCAACTTGTACTTACCATTGTAGCATGATTCTACAAGTTCACATTGTTCAAATTTACTCATATTTGTCATATTAATATTATTACACTTAATATCAAGTTGTAAACTTTTTTCTTCTAATTCAAGTCTCATAATTGTATTTAAGAAATGATTTTTAACTCGAATGTGATTAAATTCAGTTCGACCATATGGATTTTGACATTCTAATTTTGAACAAGCACATGGAAATGATAAACGATCAACCTTGAACGAAAAAAAAATAAAAAGCTCTATTAAAATCTCAAAATTTACTTCAAGATAGACACTCTTACTTGACAAGATATTCCATTTTGAGAACATTCACAAGTATACGGATCACATTTTGCAATACATGAACATCCACATGTTTCACGTGATTCTCGAATTAATTGTAAATCTTTTTTTTCTTGATTATCTATTTTATTAATACCAGATTGTTTCAATAAATTACGACGTTCACGTATTGAAATAGGTTGTAAAAAATAACAATCATCAACTGGTAACTTTTCATACATATCATTGTCTGAACAATAATTAAAAATATTTGTTATCGGTGTTGAATCATCATCATTCAATGATTGTTCAATTGTAGATACAGTTGGTGGTAGAATTTTTCTCTCACATAAAATCGATTTATGAACTTGATGTTGACGACGAGCAAAATCATTGATTGTATAACTTTCACAATGAGAATGTTGATGTGCCATTCCTAAACATAAGTAAAAAATAATTACAAAATTTGTATTTGTTTTGAATATCATGAACACGCACGAAGAAAAAACACGCTATATAACTTATAATATTTATAAATAATGAAGTATAAACTTTACTTCTTACCTAACGTTGTTCCTCCCGTGCTTGGTACACAAACAAAACCTTGTGAACGATTAAAATAATATACTGTTACATCTTCAAATCGAACAGAATGTTTATTCTGTTTTTTTGAGAGACTATTTGTTGATGTTATCATATCTAAATAAACAAAAAATATTGATATCTAATACCATTAAAAATCGAAACGTTACACTTTTCTCTATTTTGCTTGTCTAAGCTGAGTGTTACAACTAACCTTCAGATACTGTATCTGAATGGGTACACATTCTAGACGAACGAGTATCTTGATATTGTTGACTTTCCAATGATGTCGTAGACAATATATCTTCTTCTGTATTTGAATTATCAATTTTTTTTTGTTTTTGACTAACATTACTTTCTTCCACTAGTGCTGATAATTGATATTTTCGTTTTGGCATATCTAGAAGATAAAAATACATGATAAAAGTCTGATTAAATGTGAAATGAGCAATTGCTCAGCACACACTACATTATGCAGTGTTTTTTTTTTTCTTCTTCTATTAGAAGAAAAAAAAATTAACATTACCGATTGAATTAGTCTTAACATACAGCGACAACAATGTGATATGTGTGTGTGATTATTCATTATATGAGAACACTTCTGCTCAACGAGTGTGTATATACGTGTTGCTGGTTTGAAGAGGGCCAGACTATTTCTCTTTGATAAAATTTTTCAACCACGAACTCTCGCATTATGCGCTCTCACAAACTAATGATCATCAATACAGCCAAATAATTAATGATAACGTAGAATATAGAAAAAAATTATTGTTTGTCATGTCTTGATGAAACTATAGCACATCAGGGCGAAGATGACAGGAAAGTGATGACGATTGTGTGAGAGAATAACAAGACAAAAATAAAAATGTTATTGAATTATTGTCCTCTACACATATACCTAAAAATAGACAATATAAAGATTTTGTAAAAAACAAAAAAACAAAATGCTATATATATATATATATATATATATATATATCACGTTTTATTCGCTCTCAATAATGATCAAATATATTTATAACTTAGATTTGTCATGAATAATTAGAAAATTTTTTGAAAATAAAAATATCTGAAAAAATATTAAATAAAGATAAAATCTAGTTAGCCAATTGAGAAAATATTATCCTCTCATTTTTTTTGGCTTATACCCGATATATAACTATCCCTTTCATATTAATAGAATAGAAGTAATATTCATCATATTGCTAACTTAGTTAGTCAACTGTTTGCGTTAATAAATTGAATTAATCGTCTTCTCAACACACCGATAAAATAACGTTTTGGATTTTATAAAAAATATTTAGTTTCGTTAAAGCATCACATCGCATAGGTAAGGAATGTGGATTAAAAAAATGATCATAATAGACCAGAAGCAATGCACAAAATTCAAATAGGAGAAATAGTAAAACTGACTCTCTTTATTTTGAGGAACATTCCTTGAGAGAGGATAGTAAAATTGAAAACTTCTTTTGTTCTGCTAATTTTTTATTTTGCGAATGTCTTGGTAATATACGGCTGATCTTTCAGATCTAGAATATACAAGATCTTTCTGGCGGAGTTATCTATTTACATTCAATAGCTTCTTATTTCTGACGAATAACAATAAATTTCATTTTTACACGAGAGAAGAAAATGTGTTATTTCTAGTTGCGATCGACTTTAATTGTACATTTGTACTCTAACATATATATAGTCAAACTGTTATTGACTATGACCTTACAAAGGGACTAAAAGGACTAAAGTGAATAAAAAACTAAAAGACAATCAGTCATCTATTAGTATAACTTTTTCATAGCTATAAAGATTTCGGGACAAATTTTTTACTTTCCTTTATCTCTACACAATAAAAATTGTCGATCCATCACTACATTTTATCATATCGATCAAATATTGACTTGTATAATAAACTTAAGAGACATTTTGCGAGTATCGTGCAAAAAAGACCTAACATGATGGAAAAATAGATCTTGTTTTAAACGCGATTTTCGCATTTTCCACTCAAAGTTACCTGTAAATTCAAGTGTTTAATCTTTGGAAACTTTTCCTCGCTGAGAAAACAAATTTTGTCAAAAAACCGTATATTTTCTTATATTTTTTCTGTAGATGCGAAATTTTATTGAAATTTGTTGGATTATATATCAACCGAAAGAGCATAAAAGAAAATATTAAAAATAATATTATATTTTTGTATCATGGCATCAAATGGACGTAGATGGCCATATCAAATAAAAGAAACTAGAAAGAAAACTATACGAGAATCGATATACGAAGTTGCTAATACGATTTAATAAAAAATTTCTTCTATTATGAGAAATCCTTTGGAACATGTGGTACAATTTTGCGTCCCTATAAAACTCAAACCATCAGGATAAAAAAACACATGTTCAACTCAAATTTCAAAATAATATTTCTCTATGCTACTGATTAACGATTAGAATTGTTTGCTGTATTGCTATCATGGATTTCAACAACATCAATTGAAAATACTATAATTGAGTTAGCCGTTAATCCACTACAAAAAGGAACAAATTAAAGCTGAAATTGTGAGGGCGATATGCGAAAATATTGTATTTTTTACATGATTCGATAAATGGTGACAAGAATATAAAGTTATATTCTTTTATTGTTAGTTACGGTTGTCATTCAGATTTTTTTCATGTGAAATATTGAAAAGCTTGAACATCCATAAATTTCGCAATAACTGATGAAAATCACAAGTTACCAAGTGAATAATGGCATCTCATTTTACAAAATCTGTTATCAAACTGACTACTTTATACCAATTCTAACGAAAACAATATATCATGTACACGAATTGCAATTAAAAATCTTTGTCTCGTACGGTTAATTACAACTGATTCCATCAGTTAATTCAGCATGAAAAATTGAATGAGATTTTAGTGTAGAAGAAAAAATGTTTACATTACGAGATGTTGGTTAATTTGTTTAATCGCATGCACAATCAAATATTCTGTTTTTTTGTTTTCATATGTGTGAGATTTTTCAATTGGTTCGTGATCTCTTATAGCAATAAACTAAAGAATTTACTTAAAAAAAATCCGTATTAAAAAGAATCGAAAAGTAAAGACATTCATTTCACAAGAATATACGAAATCATAATGCGATTAACAACTACAGAATGAACGATAAATTTAAAGACAGATATTAAAGTGACTGGATAAAATAGACATCTCATTTTACTTCATTGCTAGAATTTGGCTAAGACTTTTGTACTAAAACTATCGATTGTTAAAATGATCTTACCTATTCCGACTTTAACTTCTGAAAAATCATGTACTGCATTATCTAACGTATTTATCAACGATAATGTTGTAACATTTGTCGAATAATCACCTTTTCAATCACTAATTTTTGACAACTAAAAAGATGTTGTTTCTCGTGAAAAGAATTCATCTGCCATTGACTGTTGTTGTTTTTTTTTTGGTGAAAGCAGGGGGAGGAGGGAATAAAAAGGTAATTGTACTTTTGACAGTTCACAACTTTTCGACAACGATCTAAAATAGAATAATGTAACCTGTTACAAAGAAATACATTAAATTTTGCTATTCAAATGTTGAGTATATAAAGTAGATGAATGATCAAGGCAGCCGTAGCAGAGTGAGCTACTAAAATCTCAAACAATCAATAGAGAATATATCTAATTTTAAGTCAATCCATAGCAAATATTCATGAAAATTTTAGTCAATCATTTAGGAATAAATTTGAAATAAAAACTTTTTTTTCCAATAATTTTGACAGAAAAAAACCTGACTACATAATATTCAAGCAATATAAATATTTTGGTACTTTTAACTTGTTCGGTAGAATCTTAAAAGAATATTTTAGAAAAGTTTTAAAAAGAAATGATATTGTACAACTCTTAATGTTTTACCCTGTTCATACAGTTATACGACTATATTAGCTAGCCTTTCTAACTTTTACTCAAAATATAGCCACAAATAACGATAAAAGTATTTGATTGTTTGTTTACTGTTATTTTATTTACATAAAGAATCAATGTGAACTCGCTATACAGTATGAAAGTGACGAGCAAGAGAAAGATGAAATTACAACGGTTAACAAAATAAGGTATAAATAAAAAAAACAAAAGAAAACATCTTGCTCGAGAAAATAAAAAAATGTGTAAAATATTTTACTTTCTAAGAAAAGACGACTTTTTCTCTCTTGAGTAGAAAGGGCACAGCACTCATGCTAAAAATAATGATAATAATAAAAAAAGAGATTGTCTATTTTGTATACGAAGATAAAAAGCAATTGTCGATTCCCAAATTTAATGATGAGATCAAACTGCTTTTATAATTAAATAAAGTTAAATAAAAAACATTTTCATCTATTAACAATTTTGAAATCAAATATTATCACTTGAATCTGCTAAAAATTCGATGACTTTTGTTATATCATTTTTATACTGCGTTAATAGACGTAGATTTTGTTCACGATTAAGAAAACCCATTTCAATTAAATGAGCCATATTTAAATCAAGTGATGAATTGGTTGTCTGAGATGTCACCGATGATAACGAGGTGCATGGTGTTGTTTCTGAACTTAATAAGGAAATTAAACATTCATTTTCATTTTCACCATGTTGAATTGTTGAAAAATAATCGTCACTATTAAACAACTCGGCTGTTGCTGTTTCAGAAGCGATTGACGTCTGTGGAGGTATTTCAATGATTGTTGATGATGCTGGTAGTGCCGTAGGTACAGAAGTCTGCAAAAAAAAAGAAAAGAAGTCGTGTGAACTGCTGAAGTATAACAATGTGTTGAAAATTTATAGAATTTTTTCCTATTTGCATCGAGAAGATTGTGTTGCATTACTTCCTCTATCCTTATAGGAGTATTTCTCTCACAAAATTATACACTTTATAAGAGGTGAATCTGTTCTCTCTTACTTCGTCGTATGCTTGTAATGTATGAAATATTGCTTTTGCTGTTGAACCTGCCTGTTTTGCTACAGTAAATATATTTGTAACAACTGAATCAACAAAGTCTAATGGTTGACTGCTAGAAATAAAAATCAATCTTATAGTCTATTTTATGACAGTATTCATTATGAAGCTACCTCGTTCTTTGTAGCATTGGTAGAGGAGTATATGGTAATGGAATAGAGCCATTAAATTCGCCAGCTGTTGATGTTGGTAACTGTACTATTGTACTTTCTTGTTCTTGTAATGTTTGTTGTACGTCTTCAACTGTCACATGTTCTATATCTTTTGTATATACATTTGAGTTAACTTCAATTTGTTTTTGATGTTGAGGAGACGAGATTTCATCTAAAAAATCATCACCAAATGGATCGACCAAATCCTGAACATCACCTAGAAAAGATCATCATAAAAATTTTAAACTAATAACTGGTGTATCTGAGTCTTATCGATAAATTAAATCAAGTAGAGAAACGAAAGTCTCTGTTTCTCCTTTTACAATGCTAGCAATCTGATGAAATTTCAATCTAAGAATATACCACATACGGACATATTTAATTTTTCCTGCATTATCATCAATTAACAAATTTCGATTGACATACCGTTTATTGATGATGGCAGTGATGATAATCTTGAATAAGTAATACTCGTCTAAAAGGCAAAGAAAAAAATCAAACTCAAATCACTCTAGACAAAATAAAAACGAACTCGAGTTGAATCATTGTGATGATAATCATTATTTGACAATGTTGACATTTCTAGAAAAAAGATGAGATAAAAAAATTTTGAACACTGGCATAAAAGCAAAAGAATAAATGTATACCTTTTGGTTTGAATGGTTTTGTTAAATCGAAACATATTGGTAGTGGTATATCGATCATATCGAATGAATTTGTTAGTCTTAGTGCTAGAAATAAAATCACAATCACATATTTTGCGAACTGCCCTTTTCACAACGAAACATCCCATAATCTGTTTTCAGAATGATCTTTTTTTCCTCCTGTTCTATCTTCTAGTCTCTCTCTCAACAAAATATATATAGCTTTTCTGTTTTGTCTATGTAATCACTCTCTGAAAACATGTGCTGATCCATACTCGTTCCATCTCCCTCTCTCTATCACACGTGTCTCTACTCTATAACATCTACTCTGTCTTCTGACTCATCAAAGAAGATACAGGTCTGGGTTAGTACGGCGATGGATGACCGCGTCTGAAGCCCAAGGTTATAAGCTGTATAGATTTACCAGTAGGAGTAGAACACACTATAGCAGTGTACAGGATAAGGAATGGAACACCTCAAGTTTACTTTTGAATAATTTAGTTCAAAAGTAAAATTGATACTGTAAAATTCATAGTTTTAGAGTTCGATTCGAACAACTATGTAGTGTTATTTTGTGCTTTGCTTTCCTTCTGTTCTATTCTAACCTTTTTCTTTGTCTTTGCAAAAGTTCCTACGTTCTCAAACTGTTGAGAAATTTTTAGTATATGTTTACTAGTATGCAAGGAAACGGAGTCATAGCTGTACGACTATGCTACTGTTCATCATTATTGATCAAAAGAATAATTACCTGAATCGCATGAATCTTGACGACTAGACATCATAATTGAAGGAGAAACCGAAACATAATTATTCAATGATGCTGATGATAATGTCATTGTGTTTGTACTCTCCATCATTATATTATCATTTAGACGTGTTTCACAATATGGTATAATTACCTTTAAAAATATAATTCAAGAGTAGAGTATAGAGAAAAAAGTTACACTTACTGGTTCATTAACAACTTCGATTGAACACCATATCATTGGACCAAATGTATAATGACGATACGTCAGTATCCATTTACTTTCGAAAACACCTTAATAAATAACAAAATACTTCATCATCTTTCTGTTTTACTTTAAGTTGAACAATTTTCTTCACTGTTACGTCTTACTTACCAGTATGATTTGGCGCAATAAAATCTACATAAATCTGAGCACGAGCGTGTGGAGCCGTTACTGGAACATGGGGTTCATTAACAACTTCAATATTATCGGATAAATTCATCAATTTAACATCAGTAGCATCCCATGGTAAGCTACCATCATTTAATAATACCCAACATTTACGAAATACTTCATTTGGTTTGACATGTGTGCCATCAGGAATATTTTCATCGACAACAAAAAGAGCTGAATAGGGTCTAAAAAACAAAAATAATATATCTTTTCTCAAATTTTTCTATTTTCAAATTTTCTTTATTTCTTCACGAGCGAATATAGAATTCAATCATAAGTAAAAGCTATCTAGTCCTAATATTCATACTTCATTAATTTAATTTTTTCTTCCATTCTTAAAACATCTTTGATTTGACCGTTGAAAGTTGCTGTTTCTAAATGATCATATAAATTAGCTACCTTTGATTTCATTAATGCAAAAAATCGTAAAATATCATCTGGATTTGTTCTAAAGAAAAAGATAAAGCGATGTAAAATATATGAAACAAAAATATTTTCTATGTCACAGACCGATCATATTTTTCTACTACTTGTAATTTATGTTTTGAAGACGATGTTGATACTATTTGACGACGATCTTTTTTCTTTTCATGATCTTTGTGTTTCGATGTTGTTATGACTGCTACTGTATTACGACGATGTTGTTGCTGTTGTTTATCACTATTTTGTCGTTTATATTTACGTTTTAGAGATGGTGACATAACATGGTGATGATGATGATGGTGATGATGACGTTCACAGTTAAACTCTTCTTTTAAAAATATATCCTGAAGTAAACAATTGTCAATCATGGTTACTAATTTTCAAGTCGGGAAAAGAAGCCTTTATTGCTTCGAAAACACATCCTATGTTATCAGTTGCTAAAGAATATATCTCAAAGCATGTCTGCTACATTCTATTCCCTGGAGATAGCTGATCTTTTACTCAAATAAAGATCTCTTTATAGACTATCAATACTCGAGAGAAATTTTATCGCACACTCTTATTGGATACCGCAAAAAATAATAATAAATTAACAGGCGTATCCTCTAAAGCGACTAATTTTATCTAAATAAAATTCTATTAACCTCGTCAGTTGAATTGTTTTTTTTTCCACCATTAATCAATGGTTGCACAACATCAAACAATTGTGGTTTTTGTACAAATAAATCTTCGTCAGTGCGTTGTTTTTTTGAATTCTAAACAAAACACAATGGAAAAGGTCACACATAGTTTAAAGCTGCTAACCAAAAACGTTATACATTTCGAGCATTATCAATATTTAGACAGCAAAGTATCTCAGCCAACGACTAATTATTTATCCTTTTTCTAGTGTAATTATTATTTGATGTCGTATTATTCATACAACTTAAGTACGATTTGTTATATACTTACTAATCTAACACTAGTCCATTGACCAGCTAATATTGTTAATTGTTTTGGTGACATCAAGGATTCTAATTCATCAACATATGTAGTCAACATACAATTGATGCAAATTGTATGCAATGTTTTAATTAAATTGCTAACCTGAAGCAAAGAAAAGAATATTAAGTCACAAAAATATAATTAGCTAATAGAAATCTTACATCTTCAGTTGCTCGTTTAACATAATCGATCGCTTGTAAAATATGTTTGCTAAATAATGTTCGATAACGTTCCATAACAATACAATTCTTGCAATTAACAAATACTTTTAATAAAGCATTGTAGTCCTGAAATAATAGAAAAAGGGAATGCAAATTAAAGTGGATAGTAGTTGTGGAAGGCTATAAGATAGTTTTCTGCTTCATTATAATCACTCTTTCAATTCATTTTTAGTAAAAAGTTAAAAGAGCGAATGCGTCTCTTCAAAGAGATTTAAGACTCAGAGACATATTATAGAGCATATACTTTCTTATTTGAGGTAAAATGAGATTCATCTGCACTTAACCAAGTGTTTTTCATCAGTGATGATTCTCTCAACCAGTAGCATGCTGATTTACGTGTACAGAGCTTAAGGACAGCTCTATGTCGAGCGAAAAGAAGTCAACAGCAACTCTGTACGTTAACTTAAAAACTTACAGCAGCTTTCAAAGAATCGGTATCAAATTGTTTCTGGATCTTTTGAATACCATCTTGCATAAGAAACTAAACATAAAAAAACTATCTTCTTTTACCAAATCTTTAAACTGTTTTGTCACCTACCCGATCAATTAACGAACGTAACCATCCATACGACAACTGACCATCATTTAACTGCATTTTAACAAAGTGACAACCGTTTAAATTATAACAATTTATATACGGCTCAAATTTATGTTTTTGTTGATATGTTGTATTACAGTCGAATGTCTGATGAACAGAAACAAACGTAAGTAAAATAAAACAATAAAATAAAGAAATACTTACTAAAGCCAACGTCTCTAGAAGACCAGTCGGTACCGGTAGAAATTGAAGTCGTGCACAAACAAGATCAATAAACAATTCTAACATTTTAAAAATACCAAACTGAATTTCAGAAGGCCAAGCAAATACACATTGAGTATTTTGTAACTGTAACAGAAAAACAAACATTTAATCAGTATTGAGACGTGACAAAAAGACAAGAACGGACTTTACGAAATGCATCTGGCACAATAATATCAATGAAATGTTTACAATCGTCATTTAAATCAGCAAGACCTAAAAATTAATAAACAAAAAGATAAAAACAATATGTTGATTAAAATTCTTTATTTGTTTCTTGACAGATTCATTATCGTTCGAAACTTTCACTATATTTACCTTGTTGAGCCAAATTCGTGGCAGCGATTAGACAAAGACCCAATGCCTCATCTGCTTTACACGGTATATACCACTTATCGGCAAGCACATTTTCATCTAATTCATTCAATTTATTTTTTGGAAAAATAATTTTCTCTTCATCACGATTGATATCAATCCTTTTCTAGCGAGAAAAAAAAGAAAGATATCGAAATAGCCAACAAGATAACGAGTATATTTTTCTCGACTTACAACTCGATATTCTAATTCACATGATACAACTTCTGGAATTGGAATAACAACTTGTTTATCTTGTGGTGGTACATAGTATATTCCGTCGAATACACGATCATCACCAATATAAACGATTAATTTCAATGTATCAACATTATGTTGACGAGCAAACTACACAAATGCAAAGAGCAAGTAATTTTATGCAGAATATAATTTTTGACGGCTTTATTCTATTCTCACCATAACGTTTTCGTTGAATTCGGTTTCACTTGATACGCGAATTTCTTCATTTTCTTCATCAATCATAAAAATTTTCACTTCTTTCATTTTATCGTTACTAAGAAGCTCGTACTGAAAAATCAACAATTTCTAACATTATCTATTCTAAATAAGTAAGCAGATCATAACTACATACACGTTGATTTAAATCATTCCAGCTCTTGATTGCAATTAGATTGTCACACATTTTGATCGTATGTGTAACGATAACGTTCAAGTAAGTTTTATCTAAAACAATAGATCGTATTTTGTTCGTATTGAATTGATTAATAGTAATATCGAAAAGTGATATTTTTCAACGATTGATATTCATTCTGACAACGTCAATCTTTTTATGAACAACCTCTACGTTTTTTTTTACGTAACGTCTATGACAAGATATTTTCATCATCAGTGAGCAATAACTTGATAGTTAGCCTGTTTGTTGATATCAAGCATTAATCCAGTTTTTACACTTTTTATGAGGCTGTAGTTATTAATCGACGTTAAGTAGATTCTTCACTGTTCTGGTTTTTTCCATGAATTTTCACGATATGAATTAAATATTTTTTTTAAATTCTTTACTATAAGTTACGAAAACCTATAAAACATGTGGCAAATATTTTATACCAACTTACATCGATATTTTCTTTTATATCTTTTCTTTAAAAATGATTATAGGCAGTTATTAATACTCTTTTTTTCGAGTTTTCGTATGTACTCTATAATTGTCAGCTGTTCGAAGTATGATAAATAATTCTACTATTCTTTTCTTTCTTTCTTACCTACTATTTCATGTTTATTGTGAAATACAAATTCATTAGGATCAAACATTAACTTACACTTTTAACACACATTTGTTAAATACGGTGAAAAAGGAAAAAAATATTCACAAAAAAAATCAGACGATACCACAGAAAAGAGAAGAAAGAGACTAGGGTTAAAAGAATAGAGTCATAGAATTCTCTTAAATTTTACTTAATACAAATTATCGTATGTGTCAACCAAATAATTCTTGCTTTTGACTTTGATAAAAATAATAATAATAATAAGTCAGATATAAGTGTACAGATGAAGAGGAAGAACGAAAAAAAAGATTTTCCTTCACTAACGGTCTTAAAAACTTGATATTCTAGAAAAAGGCCAAAATGATTCAGTCTATCATCGTCAAATCAAATAAATATTATTTTTGTTAAAGGTCTATCTGAACCGTCATCAGTAGATGAAAATTTTTGGAGCACACTATCGATTACTTAAACACTTATCATCTACAATTGAAAAACAAATAAAGAAACATGATCAATACTTTCTTTTTCATGAAAGTTCTTCACAAGCGTCACTGATGGTATTAACTAGATTTAACGTAAACCAAACTTTTATTGCATCGCTTATCTTCAACTGAAAAAAAATTACCAATTCCATCAACTCATGAAACTTGTTTATGTAGTCATTATTTTGAAGTATGAAACGGTAAATTATATAATTGGAACATGAACACTATTAAAATTAACTCTTGGGCATACATAGAATGGATTTTTCTCCCGTTAGCCACTTCACACTTTGTTTTTAGACCTACTTTTCGTATTGAACCGATTTCACAGTTCTGCATATAGTTTTTTCTTCTCAGTAGCCATTTAGTCGCAGTTATCATTTAAAATTATCTCAACCACCTGGTTATGCAAGAAGAGTAAAGACAAATTAATGTATTGATTTTTTTTTGAAATTTTGGTTTATTCAATTTTTAATCACAAATATGATTAAAACAGACGAAAACCAGTGAATAACAACATCAAAATACAAAAGGCAACTTTTTCGCTTTTTTCCTAATTTAATTTTTAAAATTTTTGAAATTGTTTCTTTGAGCCAGATGCTTTTGCTACCTTCAGTACATTGAATCGCACGGTTTTGCTCAACGGTCGACATTCACCAACTGTCGCAACATCACCAATACTAACATCTCTGAAACGAGCAAATAAAAGCACATTTTCATGCCTGGTTTTAGAATACTAAAGCACATTCTCTATAGGAAACACAAATTAAAACGATTAAGTCAAAACTACCTCGCTTTTTCAAACTTTGTGTTTTCTCTTTACTTTCGGACATGCAATAGCGTGGTCAAAATCATACACTGTGATTATCCACGATCCTAATTGTCCGTCATATGACTTTTCTGAAAACTGAATACATACCTGAAACAAGGACTCAAATGGACTGAAATATTTTTATGTCGTTTTTCAAATCGATTATATTTTCGTACATAATGTAAATAATCTCGTCTAAGTACAATTGTACGTTGCATTTTCATTTTTAGTACAATGCCAGTTAATATACGACCGCGAATACTAACATTTCCGGTAAATGGACACTTCTTATCGATATAAGTGCCTTCAATGGCCTACAAGAACAAAAATAGCCGTAAAACTAACATGAGAAACTTCAAAACATTTATTCGGTAAAAGAGAGAATATTCTTCCGCTATGGAAGTCAGACCAATAGCAAATATAACGCGTCAAGCTCTTCTCAAGCAGAGGTGTTTATCCAGGTTCTACGATGCTTGCAACTGAGTTTCAGGAATAATCTTCACATCTAATACTTACTTCGCGTGGTGTTTTGAAACCTAATCCTACATTTTTCGTATAACGGGCAGCTTTAGCTTTGCCTTTTAATGATGATTGTTTTTTATTCAAGAAAATTGTTGGTTGTTTTTGAAACGAACGTTCCTGGGAAATAAAAAAATAGGTAAAGCTTGATCTCTAAAAGAACCCAACAAAAGGAAAACCCACGTGTTCCATGTTTGTGGTGTGATTCGTTAAGATTACAACAACGATCTCTAACACGTACTATTAAGCAAGTGTTTTACAGAAATTCTTTTCAAAGGACATCATCAGAACCTTTTGAAAGGACACCAGGCCTCACTCCAGTTTCATCGAGATAATAACACAAATTTTGTCATACGCTCAGTAACTAAATAAACATGCAATTTCAAATCTCAGAAACGGATCATTATTTAACGCAAACGATGAAATTCAAAATGATAATGCACTTAATAATCACTATAGATACCACCAGCTACCTAGTCGGTATCGCCGACAGAAAAATAAAGTTTATATTATGCAGAGTCGCGGTAGATTGCTTTTTCATATTTAGCACACTCAATAACCCAGAAGAATCCCTATTTCTGATAAGGGGTATTGCCAAAAATTTCGAAAAATTTTTCTAACAAATTGCAAAAAAAACTTTCCATAGGAAAATAATATTACTATCGTCGCTAAAAACCAGTGCTGGTACTGTTTTCTGAATAACTCTTAAACACAAAATACCAGAAGCTTGCGGTTTTCACCATTCGATAGCCGAGACTTGACAGCATCTTTTCATAAGCAAAGCGTTTTCGCGATTATTCCTCAAAAACTCATTTTCTGAAGGCTCTCTGGAAAACTATTTCATACCTCGAAAATTTAACATAGGCATATATCAGTTTTTCTTTTTATGAGTAGACAGTGCAAAGTGTCCTCTTCAAAAAGGCAACTAAGCGACCGTTGAATTATGCGTGGTTTAAGCGTGGCAACGCATTTCCTGGAAGTTTCAGGATCGATATGTCTTCAGATGTGGTAAGGCAGGCTTCGTAATAGCAAAAATTAAAAAGTAGGAGTAGGATTTTGAAGTCCGTTATGGCAGGATTCATATCAAAAAGTAGGTAAAGTAGCTTTTAGCTTTTAAGAGAAGCTTCGCCGCAGTACCGACCATGCTGTCCGAGGGAATATTTTATTTTATTTCTATTTATGTCTCATTCGAAGAAAAAACGTGAATTTTCACAAATTTTCGTATTTTTCGATTTTCTGAAAAACTATCAGACTCCTATGATTCGTTCATGAAATTGATTCTCATCGAGAAATGTTTACTCTGTAAGACCATATATTTAGATATAATAATATGTTTAACTATCTAGGACTAAACAATAGAAAACTACGATATTCCATATTTATAAATTTGCATTTTTTTTTAAAATATAAGCCATACATATGGCGGTTCCAAAATAAATTTTACTTCATTTTGTAGAGGAGGCGATTCGGTATCGATTTATATGTAATAGAATATTTTAAAATACTAGAACGATGTACTGTAAATCAAATATTGGAGACAGGCATACGTTTCATCGTTTTTTTACTTTTCTAAATTTTGATACAAATCTCAAAGATCTGGACATACAAACTATTTCTGAGTCATTACATATGTAGAGCAAACATTTTTCTACAAAATGAGACGTCGGCGAGCTCTGTGCGATGTTTTTTTATGATTTTAGACGCATTTTGCGACAAGCACTGTATTTGAGACCCGTCTCCTACTGGTTTTCTCCTCGATTTTGATCCGTTGACCAAATGCAGTAATTCACATATAGTTGAATAGAGCATTGATTGTTACATCTGGTGACATGCTTTTTATCTTCATCAGCTCATATTAGTGGAGAAAAAAAGTACTTAATTTTGTGAAAATGGCTGGAAAATGGGTATTATGTATGGGAAAAGACATTTTTCTCCTACTTTTCACAATTGAACCTTTTTTAGTTTTACTCAATGCTTGCTAGTCATGTCAAAATTTGATATAAATTCTTTTCTCCTAACCATTTAAAATAGATCTGTTTAAAAACAAAGTTAGACAAGCTCGTGAAAGGTACCCTGAGTGGATTTATTTATAATTTTTAGGTTTTACGGTTAGGAGAAAAGAATTTATATCAAGTTTTGACATGAGTAGCTGGCACTGAGCCATATGCAGTTTTTAAACGCAAAACTAAATAGGTTCATTAGTTAAAAGTAGGAGAAAAATGTCTTTTTGCTTGTAAATTTACTAAAAAGAACAGAAAATTAAAAAAGTAGAAAAAGTAGGACGTTTACGAAGCCTGTAATGCTAAAAATAAATGAAAACATAGGTTATCGACCACGCAGAACCTGTTGGCAACGTTTGTTTCTCGAAATAAATTTAAAGACCTAGCCAATAAACTAGTGGAAACGAAGGATGCTCTCATCTCTTAGGTTAAAGCGAGTTCTTGATAATTCTTGAATTACCCTTTTGTTTCATACTCTTGCTTACATATAACTGCCAAACACAACTTCATGGTTTATCATTGGTATTGGATGTGAGGCAGTGAACCTTTCTAAAATAGCCTGTTCGATGCGGTTTTATTCGTAAATTATAAATATGGTATTAGGTTTTATTAGAAGCTGAGAATGAGTGAAAAAATTGATTTTTATTGGCATTAGGCTCAAATGATATAGGCTTGTCAAATGAAACTTTTTTTTCACTAGTTAGGACAAAAAATTTTCTAGTTACTTTATGTGAAATAGATAGGCTGTACTCGTGGGCAATTTTTAAGAATGAAACTGAAATAGAATTCACATAAAAAGCAGACAAAAAATTTTTTGACTAATGACACCTATTTTCTAGTAAAACTGATCAACTTCGGAAATTCATAGTTTTTCAACGAAGTAGTTTATAACAAAATGGAAAACAGTAATTGATACAGGTTTTCATTGTGCATGTACGCGTATAGTTTTTATCTCGTTTTAAGTTAAGAGAATTTTTACTGCAAACAAACATTAAACAAGAGCGGAAAGAGTTGAAACATTTTGCGTCATTAAGAGTTTTACATGTTTAGGTCAGTTTGTACACTTGAAAATTTTTTGTATCAGCGTCTGTGGATTTGCTATGTAATCTAGTATAGTGACTCGATTCCACAATTGTAAACAGATTATTCTCATGTTTGCCTTGAAAGTGCAAACACTCAGTACTTTATTTGCCATGCAATATGTTATTTGAATAAAAGCTTTATACATTAGAACAGTGAAATTAAAACTATTCATAAAAAGAAATGAGTAAAAAAACGGAAAAAAAGAAAAAGAAACTGTGGTTCCAAACTAAATTTAAAATAGTGTCATAAGCTCATGTGGATCAGCATCTTCAATTATGCACCCGGCCCAACTGAAAAAAGATAATTAAAAAATACGTTGCAATTTAGCTGAAAAAGCGTGTATATATAAATATACCGTGATTGCAACAACTGAATTATGTCTGGCGTTCTTTGATCGTCTTCTATATCACTGTACGTATTGTAATAAGAGATTGGATATTGATTTCTTGTATCTAAAAGTAGAAAGTCGATTGAAAATAAAAGACTACTTAAACCTTTCAATAAAAACTACTAGTTTGTTATATAATTCTTAGTTATGACTTTTGTCACTCTTTTATTCCAGTCTAGCAAAGGAGTACAGTATCTAATCGGTGACGATAGAATTACAGAAAGACTGTTGAGCAAGGGGGGGGCGGGGGGAAAGCATTTTTTTTAGTACAGCACGTCAGCACCTCTTCGCCACTCAAAACTACCGATTTAGTCTATCGGTAACCTTCACGCTTCGTAAAACTCAAGATGGCGGATGGGTAAAAGGATCAAATACGACCGCGATTTTTTTTTATTATTTTGCTTCTATCTGAATCAAGAATAAAGTATTATGATCTTCTTAGCAGTATGATGTAAATGCAGCCCAAGCTTTCAGCACCCTAATCGGCACTAGGTACTGCTTTCCCCCCTTACTGCTGGGTGAACTCGTGTATTACACATTGAGAGAAGTCATCTAATTCGTCTATAAAAAGTTTTCTTGTCGCTTTTCCTTGTCAATTCAACTGCATACCAATATGAATGATGCATGGATTTTCTTGTTTTTTCAATCCCGTATAGATTTGTAATTGAAAATAATTTTCATATATCCAATTATTTAACAGGTTGATATTTGTTGAAAATATAATTGCATAACGTTTATTTAAGCATACCATCCATATTGGATATTTCGGTGTTCGAAACATACTACCAATTTCTTTATTCCATTCCTCATCTTCTTCATATTTACTCCAATGTAAAAATCCAATTTGACTACGTTCTTTTATACCGTACAGTGGTTTCTCCTAAAATCAGTGAGGTAGTAGGAAAATTCTCATTTTATCATTTATAAAAAAATATCGCGTGTTACCATAAGATTTCCATCTGAATCAACATCAATAATACCGTTATGTAAATAGTTCAGTGCTCGACTGAAAAAAGAAAATATTTGCCCATCAATAAATGTTAAAGCTAATTTTCAAGCTCTTTTCAAAGAAGACATACACACACATTTACCCGGTTAACGCTAGTGTGACCATTTGTATTGTACTTTCATCTCTTTCACCCACTAGTCGATTATGATGTAAATCATCAATCAATCTTCAACAAATCAACGTATTATTCAAATGAAATCGGAATGCAAAATATTTTAACTAACTTTCTCAATGTTCGTGACAACATCAATGAATATAAGAAAAGTATTACACCATTGCTTTTCATGAACTAAAATAAACAACATAAATTCAATGATTTCTCAATCTGTATTAACACATACGTATTGAAGACACTTGATAACAAATAATCGTAATTTTTCAATATCAACGAATTCGAATAGATGAAGCTAAAAGATATACAATGTTAAAGGCATAAAGATTAGTCAACTACTGATCAATGCTACATACTCTCTCAGTAAATTCGTCCGGTACATAATGATCACCATAGTTTGAAAAACATTCATCACCATATGGAACAACAATAGTTGCTCCACGTCGATCACCTGCTTGCCATAACATCTAAGAAAGAAAAACTATCAGTTTCAAAACAATAAATTTTTACTTCAATTAACTATTTGTTTTTATTATTAGGTCAGTAGAAAATTTAATATAGTTAATGATACAAGATAAAAATATTTTGACAATAGTTTCAGAAATTTTACCTCTGTTATAGCATCAACAAATGCATCTATACGAGCTTCTGCACTGACAGATACAGATCTACGTAAAAAAAGAAGATAATATAGACCAGTAAAAATAGTGAAGAACCATCCATATTTCTTTTATAAACAAGTTCAAAAGTTGTTTTTGAGTAACCGTATACATACCCATGTTTGACTTCGGATAATAGTTTTTTTGTTAATAATGAACGTAATATAAACGACTGAACACATAAAATCAAGCCGCGTGCTCCCGTCTAAAAATGAAAATAGAAGAAATAAATATTTCGTTAAATATATCAAATAATATACATACTCTATCAGCAACAAGACCATAATTTATAGGATCTTCGATATCACGAAATATAAATTTTGAATTAAACCACGTTGTACTAAATGAATGAATTGTAGTCCCGTTTGATAATAAACGTAATGTCTTAACAATAGGAGTAAAATATTTAGACAATTAGAAAAAAAATTGAGGAGCACACACACAAATAGTATTACCGAAGCGATTGCTAAAGTAATTGGATCACCTTGAGAATATAATCTTAAACTATTCATATTTAAACTGTTTCCAATGCTGGCGATATAATCATCTACAATAAACAAAGTATGGATAAATGGAAATTGATTAATATTAAAACTCTATTTAGGAAATCGAAGTTCTTCATTTCTTACACACCATCAAGCAAATTTCAATTAAATTTTACATATTAAGTCTGATCATTGACTGACTACTAATTCTTCTTTCTCATTCATTTCTTTTACAATAGAGAGAAACTACATACCGTCTAAGAGTTTCGGTGCTTTTTCATCAATATTTTTTGATTTAAGAATTGGTTGTGCTAATAATGAATCGACACGCTATAATAAGAAATAAAATTATTTCATAAGTCTAAAATATCCTTTTCATTTGTGTTTTTCCTACATTTTGTAATTCCGCTCGACTAATCTCAAAATAATTGACAAGATTCAATATTTCTTTATCACTATATTCGTCAGATGATGGTTGAATAGAAAAATCTTCTTGTCCAGCAGATTGTACAGCAACACCTAAAAGAAAAGTAAAAAATCATTTGTATACAAAAATGTTTTCAAAAAAGAATTTACCTGGTGGTATCGCAGGCATTTTTTTACAATTATTTTAACTATCTAGAAATAAGACCAGAAAACTATATTTTAACTGATTATGTGTCACTGAACTATCATCTTTAAAAAAAAGATAATATCAATTATTCATTGAACATCGATCTGTTTTGAGAACTAAGCGAGATTATCAACTCTATTGCTTTTTTTCTGCTGAATTCGGTTGCTGCTTTGTTGAATTTTTATATTTAATCACTATTTTCAGTTTTTCTAATCAAACTACTATCCCTAGAAAAAGAAGGATGGTTGGTTATTAAGCACAAATCCCTCGTACAGAATAGGATCAGTTGTCTTTTTTTCACCTTTTTCTGTCTTTTAGTGTTTGACTGTTTTTTTTACTAGTTATGTTTTATTAGTTGTGAACAGTTTTCAAGAAAAAGAAATGAGCATCATTTGTCTGAAATTTTTGTTTTTCCAAACTTTCACACAAATTTTGAGTCTCTCAAAGAAATGTGACATGCAATACAGATCAACAGATCGATAAAATTGTAAGAGAGAACGAAACTTCCAATTTAACACCTGCGTGCCCATAAACACAAATTAGTGCATATTCGTTTTCTATAGTATCATGCATAATTTACCATTAAAACATATACTTCATCATGACTGCTTGGAAACAGCAATAATCTTGAGTATTAATGCAAGGTCTGCTCCTAAGGGATTGACTCAAATTTTCTAAAGTTTTCATTTAGTTTTGTTCAGAATGGAATAAGCATTTTGATACCTGAAAATAAAATTCAGTTATGCACTTTACAACAGAAAGGTAAAAGATGGACTGGACTGTCAATATTGAATGGGAGAAAAATAAATAAATTAAATATCAATAGAATTTTTTCGAAAACGTAATCGTACAATTATATTAATGAAAAGCGATAGTTTTTCTGTGTAAAATATATTTAATACAGTAATCAACAAGAAAGAAAGCAAATATTTTATAAAGTGAAAATGTAACTTTTCGTCTGGCAATTGTTTTAGTATCCTATAGAAGTAGAGGATTTCTCTAAGAAACTAGATTTTAAATCTTCAGTTCAACTTATTTAGGTTATTTAACTCTTTTCTATAGCTTACGATTAACTTCAGACTTCAATTGTTTTGTTTTTAGATGGTGCTTGTTTCACTGACATGTTTAGTGGTAGATTCTGTTGATGATTGTTCATTTTGTTCACGTATTTCTAATTATATTTCCTGATAAACATTAGCATTATGATATTCAGACGTCGTGGCCTATTAAAATATTTATTTTTGATTCCAGCCTTATGGTTAATAGCCGTTGTTCTATTTAGTCTAAGAAGCAGTACACAAGTACAACCAGACGTGAATACTGATCAAGGTGAATTGATATTGAAAACAGATCAAAATAAAGAGTCATCTACGCCAACACTAATAAATTCCAAATCATCGAAGGATAATGAAGAGGCTCTAGGAGTACATGAAAAAGAAAAGTTAGCAAAAAACAAACATCCAGATGAAGATCATCCACAAGAAGAACGTGACAAAGCACGTGCTCAAGCAAAAGAGATGAAGGGACAGGTACAATTAATGCCGCCGGATAAAAAAGAAAATCTAAAAGAGTCTCCCGGAGAAATGGGTAATGCAGTGAATATTGATAAAGATAAGTTAACACGTGAAGAAAGAGTAAAATTTGACGCAGGATGGAAAAATAATGCATTTAATCAATATATTAGTGACATGATACGATTAAGACGAAGTTTAGCGGATATTAGAGATCCAGAGTAAGTCTCTATTATCAAAAACTTAAAACAAAAATACTTTCGTGTTTTCTTTCACACTCTTTGATCATAACTAATCTGCATGATAATCTGCATCAACTTTTCTTTGTTTTCAGGTGTAAAAAAATGGAATTACATCCAAATTTAACAGATGCATCTGTTATAATTATTTTTCATAATGAAGCAAGATCAGCCCTATTACGTACAGTCTATTCTGTGCTAGATCGATCACCATCTCCTTTATTGCATGAAGTTATACTTGTTGATGATTATTCCGATAAAGGTGCGTAATAGGTGAGGAACACTTACTTTTTACATCAGGAATATGCGCAGTCGTTGTTGGTTGATTTTCGTAAACAATCAAAGTAATTCGGCGAACTATCTATGAACTAATGTTCTGACATATTTGCGTTGTTTATTGTAGAACATTTGAAGCTCGAATTAGAAGATGACATCAAAGATTTGAAAAAAGTCCGTTTGTTGCGTACATCAAAACGTGAAGGTTTAATACGTGCACGATTGAAAGGTGCAGTAGCAGCTAAAGGAAAAGTGTTAATATTCCTTGATTCTCATTGTGAATGTACTGAAGGTATCTTTGATTTAACAAAAGTTTAATCGTTTAACAATACCATTAAGTTGTTTTTTTCTTAGGATGGCTCGAACCATTGTTAGATCCAATAGCACGAAATCCTAAAGTTGCTGTTGTACCAATTATAGAAATAATCGACGATAATACATTCCATTTAGTCAGTACACCGATACAAAATATTCAAGTCGGAGGATTTGATTGGAATTTAATTTTTAACTGGCATGTGACACCTGATCGAGAAATGAAAAGAAGAACAAAAAAAACTGATCCTATCAGGTATGTTTTACTTGGACTAGTTTTGTAATTCTCTTCTAGTATTGATTTAAGCTTTAATCTTGAATCAGAACGAAGTCGAGAATATATAAATTCCCATTATATCATTCTGAAACTTAAACTATCAAAACACAAAATCAACCCTTGCGCGAAGCTGGAATCGAACCCACGAACTTGATCTTTGCAGAAGAACTGTAAAAATCACCTTCACTATTCTTTCCTATATTCTGCACGATGATTGAGGTTGTGCAAGGACTCGATGTTATTCTTCAATATATATGTTTTTGTTTTGATGTTTGTTTTTGGTTTAAGTTTAAACTCTAATATTGGTATCGTTTTCATTCATTTTAGAAGTCCTACAATGGCAGGGGGATTATTTGCGATCGATCGTGATTGGTTTGATCAGCTAGGAATGTATGATCCTGGAATGGACATTTGGGGTGGGGAAAACTTAGAATTGAGTTTTAAAGTAAGTTTTTCTAGAAAGAGAGTGACAAACTATTTCGATAACCAACTAGTCAAGTATATCCTCTGGTTTTCAAAATCCTCAACGAGATAAGAAAAACTATTAAGTTACTGTATCAAACAAGATGTTGGTGTATAACAATACTGTTTTGAAGTTGATTATCTAACTTTCGATCTTGATCATTGTACTTATAGAAAGAAGAAGTGCCATTTATCACTTTTGTTTATCTTTTATAGGTTTGGACTTGTGGTGGAGAGTTACTATGTGCTCCTTGTTCTCACATTGGTCATATTTTTCGAAAACGTTCACCTTACGAATGGCCCAAAGATGTTAATGTTGTCAAAAAAAATACTGTTCGTTTAGCTGAAGTATGGTTAGATGACTATAAAAAATATTATTATGAAAGGATAAACAATGATTTGGTATATGTGCTATTAATTTTAATATTCTTTATCGATATTATTCATTTTTGTCTTTGTAGGGCAACTATGGTGATGTGTCGGATCGTTTAAAAATTCGTGAACGTCTTCAATGTAAACCATTTAAATGGTATTTAGACAACGTTTATCCCGAACAGTTTATTCCTGGTGAATCATTATTTTTTGGAGAAGTAAGAATACCCTTCTCAGCATATACATATCTCGATTTCTCTTTATTTCCTTATTTTCTACAGATTCGTAATCGTGGTAACAAGGAAGTATGTCTGGATTCTCAAGAAGTTGAGGAGAGTGATAAACCCGTTATTGGTTATCCATGTCACGGTAAGAATGTTCTGTTAATCGAAGTGTGATTCGCGTAAAAGTGAAAATAACCTGTTTACAAACATGCACTCAGGAAATGAACGGAACTCCTTAAGATTTTATTTCAACTTATCTTTCGTGAACTTTTAAAGGCTGAACTAATTTGGTTCGTGAGGGTGAGATCACGTCGGGTGCCTATAAAATATTTAGTTTAAATCTTATATCAGTTCATACGCCTATATCTTCTACATACTAAATCGATCAAGGATACAGTTATCATAGGATTCATCCACTTTCGTTGCAAGCGTCTCATTCGTAGGTAGGCAACAATATTGCAAACAATATAGGCAAAAATCTCTCTTCCCTTCTCAGATATGTGTGCTATTTTTGTCTAATAATGCTTGCTCCTTTTTATCTACAGGTCAAGCTGGTAATCAATTTTTTCTAATGAGTAAAATAAATGAGATACGTCGTGAAGAAAAATGTTTGGATTACTCGGGCGGTGAACAGCAATTGAATCAGCCAAATAAACTCGTTTCTTTTTCATGTCACAGTATGCGAGGAAATCAATTATGGGATTATGAAGCAAGTTCTTGAAATACCCACTATTATTTAATTGTGATGACAGTTTTAATACTTTCTTTTATAGAATGAAATGTTTCGGCATTCGTCAGGTTTTTGTATTGAGTTATCGAAAAATAATAAAGATGTGTATATGGCTACATGTGATTCAGCGAATCAAAATCAATTATGGTTTTGGAAAAAACGAATACAAACCACCGAGTACGTAGAGAAAACAAAAAATAAGTCAGCGACTATCATCATCGAGTGTTGTGGCGTACATCAGTCGACATTATGAGTGTAGAAAAAGAAAAAGTTTCACAGTTGTACAATCAGCACTAAGAAAAAGGTTTCGAGAATTTTTTCTTAAAATAGATTAAGAAATATTGTAAACAGTAAATCTAGTTGATCGCTGTTAGATTCCGAGTGAACTAAGATCTTTCTCATCTAACGTCTATTTACAAATAAAAAAGATATTTTCTTAACAATAAAATTGATCTATTTATATCAGAAATATTGTGCGATAACCTTGAGTAGGGTCTACGCAATAACCTTGGCTAGGCTTTGCTCAATAACCTTGAATACATTCTTGCACCATAGCATTGAGTATTCTTGCGCAATAACCTTCACTATGGTCTTCTCCCTTATGGGACGACTTTAGTACGTGACATAACAATCGCCTATAGAATCATGTAGAGATAGAATATTTAGAAGAAAGTAGACATTAGTATTTTTCTTTCCTGTTTACAAAGTTAACGATGCATCTAATCCCTGTTAATCAACTAACTTGTAAATTGTTTATTTTAGTTCAAAATCTTAATCAACACATTAGTATACAACATTAATCCACCTGTAAAATTTATTCTTTGCATATATTGCTCAATTGTTATGGCATTTTTCTCATCCAAATATTATTATTTATTATCATTTACTTTCTCTCTCTTTCTCTTGCTCTCTCAAAACACACCATAACGAACAATGATTGTATATCAATATTGTTTTATTATTCATTTTACGTGTACTAGCATATGTAATTTTGCGTATGCAGTGAAAAGTAAGGTGCTTGTTTGCTCAAGAATAGAATTACAGGTGCGTTTTCTTACTATATTTCTAATTGCTTTCTAATTCTCTGTCATTGTTAAATAGAGAATATTTGCAATTGCTTTTCATTCTAAATTTATTATCTTCTTTCTTATTGTAAACCGGTGGGAAAGTCTTGTGTTTTGTTGTTTTTCTTCTTTTAAATTTGTCAATATGTTTGATTTGTTTTTTTTTGGAATTTGTTATTGTTATTTTTCATTCCACATCATTTTTAAGTTATTATAGATACGAAACTGTTTTTAATTCAAAGAAAAGACGCAAACGGAAATGTCTTTTTATAGTTTTTATTTAAGCTTTATTCCATCTCGAACACAAGCGAAATAAATCTCATCAGCATAATTTAGAATTTTAATTAATAAAATAATGTCTTCGTTAGGTCTCAGTCTCGTAAAAGAAAGATAAAAGAAGATTTTGTACGTATAGTCTAATATTTCTCGAAAGGCTAGCTAATTGTACTATCTTAAAAAATAGCGCATTATAGTAATAGACAGATGTTATTTGAAATGCGTCAGCTGTAGACATAGAAATTATTCATAAGAGCACGTTGTACGGTCAAGTTGTTCCATCGTTTATCTTTACGTTTATTATTTTCCTTTTTACGTCAGTTATTTTTAAAGACATTCGACCTACTTATCTAAGTTATTTAAGATATGAGCCTTAGTTGTATAAATATTGTTTTACGAGTTTTTCTCGAACTTGCTCAGAAATATAGATATAATTGATTGTTAGTTTGGATTGAAAGAAGAAATGAATGAAATGGACGATCAACAATTAATAACGCAAATGGAACGTGAACAATTGATAATGCGCTTGTGAGTTGAGATAAAAATATTTTTAGACTCTTGATCTTATTTCGTTGTTTTAATTAAAGTGCACATACAGTTGGTCGAGAAACGTCTGTACGGTATGATGAAGCGGCTTATCAAAAATCAAAAGGAAATAGGGTAAGAAAAAAATATCTAACACAAATTTCTCTTCTTACATGTGATTGTCTTATTAAAGGCCGGTTATAAAAAAATCATGTCTCAAGTGTGGGCAAGTCTACAAGCTCCGAGACAACAGCAACAACAACAGCAACAAACTTTAGTGGGCAATCAAAATGATCTCAATAGACAAAATACATCCTCTCCATCAGGAATGATGAATCAACAGCAGCTAAATCAAATGTATCCACAACCCCCATCTCACATTATTCAACAACAATCAATGCCACCCGCCGTTTATGTTCAGCATAATCAGATGCCAACATCGATCGTCAAACAAGAGCCCATTATTTTCAATCAACAACCCGTAAGTTATTTATTGCTTGAATGAATTTTTTTAATTCAATTTACTTACATAATATTCGAACTTTTTAGCAACAATCAAAACAAATGATGTTGAATAAACAACCACAACAACAAATGATTACAAACAATAATCAAGAAGGTAACATTGGCGGAGTTCATATCAAACAAGAATATATGAATAATCCTAATATGGCAACAATGAATGGACAATCATTATCATCGATGCAACAAGGACAACATATTAGGCAACATATGCAACCTCAGAATATCCAGCAGCCTCTACTAGTGTCACAAACTTCACAACAGCAATATTCACAGCAGGTACAGTTAAACACATTACTAATCCGACAGTTCATGTGTGTATCTCGAAAAATTAATTGTAAATAGTCATTCGATCTGTGTTTCACAGATTAAATTTTGAGCATATTTTAGCTATTTTGGTGTATCTTTAATCTTTCAATCAAGTATCCTCTTTCTAGATTATAAAAAGACTAATTTCGTGTTCTTTTTCTAATCCCATCCTATAACAACATTATTTTCACTGTTTTCGTTTGTGTTAATAACTGGCGTAATGATAGTTTATTCTTTAATTTTTCTTTGTCAACAGTTAATAGTTGTATTAATAGCTGATGTTGTATGGAAGATTGTCAGTCAAAATATTGTTGTTGTTTTTTATTATCGAAAACAAAAAAATCCAGTGTCAGTACTGACTGGAGAAAATTCCGTTACGATCAGTTAAAGACATGTGAAAAAAAAAAAAAAAAATTCACTATTTGAAAAATAAAATCTGTGCGGATTTACAATTGTCAAAATATTATATTTATGAGTGCTGTTACATTATCTTGGACTTACTCATTTAATGGTCAGTAATTAGAAATAATTTTGCATAGAAAATATTTCATTTTGATGATAAAACTGCATCTAATTTCTTCCAATCAGCTAGATTTGGTAGATAAGGAGAGCAAGAATGATACTTGTAGTGATTTGTGGCTGAAGCAAGGCTCAGCAAAGAATGAACTCGATTTGTATTATTACAACATTAGAGAGAGAAATGTGTGTATGTCATCGATTTATATATTCGGATTAATAAAGTTCCATATTTCAGAAAATAATAAGACGATTGTTGAGAAATAATAAAATAGAAAATTGTAGAAACTCAATGTAGCTAGGTTAAAACGACCGACAGCTGTTGCCATTGCAAACCAAGAAATAAAGAACCAAAGAAAATAGATGGAGAAAGAAACTTTTTTACAACAAGAACAATAACTATTCTAATAGTCTTCAGTCAATATTTGATAGAATATATCAACCAATTAAATAATTATTTAACACTCAATAATTTATTTGATGCTCAAACTCTCATGAATTACTCGCTAACTAATTCATCGACGTTTGTTTAAGCATCTTTTTCAATTTTGGTGTCAATCGTTCTTGTAGGTTAACATCAGTACTTTTCCTTTAAAACTAGCCGGACTTGTAATATTTAAAAAGAGTCTTTTTGACATATGCGAGCTAAACGGCTCATACTCAGTCAAAACGTTTGTTTATTGACGATGAGGGCAGATGGTGTTAGTTTCTTGTGAACATCAGAAATAAGGAGAAGTAGCAACTGAGTGGAGCCAAGAGAAATGGGAGGAAAATGATGATGTTATAACGGAACTCGTCATGGGACGTACCTGTACAAACTTTGTTTCCCAATCTGGAAAAATTAACAGAAACAAAAGGAGAATTAGTAGTTTTCTATATTTTAGCAACTGCCGCCAATTCGTCATCAAATGTCAACAGTGATGCCTCCACAACAACAACAACAACAGTCAAATGTTCATCAACAACAAAAACAAATGATCCAACAACAGCAACAACAATCAGCTTTAGCTCAAAACTCTCAGTTACAGCAACAAACAATAAATTACCAAAATCAACCATCTCAACAACAATCATCTCTCTCATCAATTGCTCCTTTAACATCACAACAGCCGGTACAAGCGACTGTTCAACAACCAAATCGTGTGAATATTCATTCTTCCAACCAACAGCAACAGTCACCGTCTAATTCATCTATTCAACAGCATAGTCAATCAAATCTACAGCAGTCACAAACTTCTCCAATGCAGACAAATACAACGCTAACTGCTTCAACTGTTACACAAACGCAACAACCAGCAGATGAAAGTACAAACTGTTTTTTCCTTTTCTAAGAGATCACTACTTTTACTTCCATTATTTTTTAATTTTAAAAAACGATCTTTTTTCATAGTTCTTCAACAAATTCTTACTAGTCCCAATCCAACAAAACAAACACAAAATGCACAAACACGACTACGAAATGTAAGTATACTATAGCTGAAAATAATTAAATTCAGTTTCAATAACATACAAATATTCTTGTTAAGATAATATCACATTTCAGTAGTTATTTAACTCCAGTTAAAAGTTCTACAAATGTACTTTAACGCATGCCATCATCATTTTCTCAAAATTTTACATATCTCTTTTTCTCAGATTGGACGACGAGCAGCTACAGCTGCTGCTGCCAATAGTAATACTGGATCACCCATTCCGAATGGTCCAAGTCCATCGGGACAAATGCCTCTAACACCGTGAGTGAGACGAAAAATATTTCTTTCGAATCATTTGCCACATTATTCTATTTCTCTTTATGTATAGAGGCTCCGATCCAACAATGATGATGATGCAAAGTGGCTCACCCCAAATGATGATGAGTGGAAGCCCAATGTCACGCTATATGACCGGTATGACGGCATCGCCACAATTTCGACCAAATATGTCACCTATGAATATGATAAGTAAGTATAGTAGAGGACTACACAATGAAATCAACGCAGTATAGATCTAGAAAGATTAAACAATCGTAAAAATTCTGCTTGCCTGAATTATTTTGAAACAGACGTTGTTGTTGTTATGATATGTAGATAATTCAGTTTGGTTTTACATAATTTAGATTATGGTAGCCCAATGATAATGGCAGATGAGGAAATTCAGTATTATTATAGATATTTTGCGGAACGTATTCGACAATTAGTAATGATTATTAGTAAACTGAATCAAGAAGGTAAAAAAGACTTAGTCTAAGTGTTTAATATTTATCTAACACAATTATTTATTTAGGTCAATATGAGAAAGTAGTAAAACTAAAACAATTTCATTTTGACATGTCTCATTTTATGAAAAATCCTGTTGTTGACAACTTAATGATGGCTAGAAGATTAAAAGAACATTTTGATCGATATATGGTAGGCATTTTTTATTGTTCTACAATATTTGCAGTTAACTCTCATCATTCATTTAGGATCCACGTGTATTTGGAGATATGTTATTACCTCGTATATCATCAACAACGGGAATATTTGAACAATGTTATAAAGCAATAACAGATTACTTAAATAAAGATACTCAACATAAAGCATCTATTGCTAAACGATTTCTTGAACCATTGTCTGATATTGTTACGGGTGTTCCTCATAAGTAGGTTTTTGTTTATCTCATCGTATGATTCTCGTCTGCACTTTAAATGTAAAAATTAATGATAATAACTGACATTTTCTTTTACTTCTTCGTGTTTAGAATTATACGTTTGGACTCACCAAAAACTATTACGTGCGAAACTGTTCGTTTAGAACCAGAAACAATTGAAAAGATAATTGAAAATGAATTTTCTCAAATGCCTTTAGGCATTTATAAGTATGACCTCAAATCATTATCCCGAGCTTCGTGTGATCATGGCTATTTATTAACATGCCGTTTGATTGAAGAAAATATGCCTATTTTACCAGCATTAAAAATAAAGATATCAGCCAAATATCCAGACGAATGTCCAGAAATATTATCATTAACAAAAACAATACCAATAACTTTAGAAAATTATGGTAAATATAAACAATTAAATACAAATAACTTTCCACTATATGAATTTTGTTGAGAGTAATAATTTAGTTGTTAACCGCAATAAAACGTCTGTCTAAAGATCGAGAAAGAACTTGATATTCTTAGATAACGTAGAAATATATTAATGAGAAAATTATTTTAGAGGTTATAATGCAGTTTTTTCTATCTTGACAGATGATGTTAGAATTAAAATGTTCTTTTTCTAAAAACTGTATATATTGTCAAGAGAGCGAGGGTATTGTCTAAAACTGACTTTCGTAATAGGCTATCTTTTTTGCATTTCTAAAATTCAACGTTCAATACGATACTTCACATTCTAATATTTAACCTGTCTATCTTATTATTTTAATTTCTTATTTCTATTGTACGGTCAAACCTGGCTTTTGACTCGAAAACTTTTTTCTGACTAACTCAGTTGAAAAAAATGTTAGTTACTCAGGTGCATAAGAGCGAGTTTCTCAGCAAATAAATGAGTTACTCAGAAGCTAGAGAAAATCACTTACTCAGGTGCATAAAAGGCAGTTTCTCAACTTAAATTTCTTAAAAAATGTCTGAGTAAGTCAACATTTTTTGAGAAACTGTATCCAAACGAGGGGGTGATTTGCCACCCCTACCACTCCCTAATCGATAACGCTGAATAGAAAAATGACATATAATACTAAAAATTTTAGGTTTTTAAATGAGCAAGGTAAATAGAAAATGTCATTTTTTATCTATTTATTTCAGACGGTCATGAGTTTTTTGAATCGATAGCAAAAACATTTATTTATTTTTTATTCAAATTACCGGCACAACATACTGTCACTGATATTCTTGATATATGGGTATGTATCGTTCGTTTAACGTTAACTTGCAGCTTATGTGATTTTATTTATATATATTTTTTTATTTTTAGCGAACATCTATTCGAAGTGCATTAAAAGAGTGTTATTTTCCTACAAGCGACGATGATTCGGATTTCTTCGAAAAATCATTGTTGTCTGCAATTTATTAATGATGTTGTTGTTTTTCCTTCTATTTTGTAAATGTCTTCCGTTCACTACCGATAGATTTATATTGTATTCAATATATGTTTTTTTTGTTCTTTTTGTATAAAATAAATGTTTGTATTTGTAAATTTATTTTCTCTTTATGATCTCAGTTTTTTTGCAATTTCTACAGCTTTTATTGCGATCGTACATTTGTGTTTCGTACGATAATTCTCACATTGTCTCCTTTTTTGTTCTATTATTTGTGTCATCTATTCGTTTTGTTTAAGCAATGTTTCGTGCTTTTTACGTGCAATGCTGTATGCTTTGTTATTTATTATTTAGAATGTGACTATGTTTGTAAACGTAGTAATTGTAAGTAATAATAAAAATAAATAAATAATGTTAGTGATAAATGTGACATGTTCACATGCTATCTGAATTTGACTCGAAACGATAACATTTACCATTTGAAAACATGTACATTTAACATTTTGATCTAATTTTCTGTCTAGACATACCTTTTTCAATAATCATATGGATGCTTGTTGAATCGAGTAGGAATTGTTTTCATGTTAAATAATCTATCTCTTTTGACTGTTTAACATAAATCCCAGATGTCTATATATACAACTTTTAAATCTCAGTGTACTTTTTTTTAATGTTATTTGTATGTTATTTCATTCGACTTGCTGTTGATGGTACAACTTAATAACTACTCTATATTTATCTTTTAATTCAACAGCGGTGACATAAATATACAATAATTGTGCATCATCATCATTATTGAAAACAAAAACAATTCATCTAAAATAAATAAGTAGTAGATTGTAGAAAAAACAACAAACATCTTTTCGGGTTTAGGGATGCGTACGAACAATGTTGTTATATTGTTGTCTGGATGACAATTTCAGAAGAAGGAATTTTTGAGAATAAATTAAGGATAGTATTGAAATCTCATTTAGATGAGCATGGATATTCCGGATTGGGGGGTGAGATGGTTGTAGCATAAGAGTGAGTTACCAAACAACATTTCATTTCGTGTGATAAAGAATATTATATGCTTGTCCTCTTCTATTATTGTTGTGCTGATCCTTTTGTACATAAAGAGAGGAATATTTCTAGGTACTTATTCGACCTTACAACCACTCTCAAGTTTCTACTCCATCTGATATATATTATAGATCGCATTTTGGATCTTTCTCTTCCAGTTTCACAATTCCTCACGACATTATATATCATTCCAAAGCTCTTTTTCTTCGCTGTATTTCTGTATATCACATAGACGGAAATAGTCCTTCTGAGGCCAAGTATGTTTAAAGATACTTCGGACTATAGGAAATCATCTCCTAATTGCAAAAAGTCTCAGATATTCGATGACAAGCTTTCTCAATGGTAACTCAGAGAGTTCTCTTCAAAAGGGGAGCCATGCGACATCTTGATATTCAGTGGTTCGAGTACGATATTAGATTCTCCTGTAGTCTCAGGGCTGGTACCTCGAGACTATTGGGTAGCCTCGGGAATGGGTGAATAGGTGATCGATCATCATGAGTCTTGTGGCAATATTTGCTTCTAGAAAAAAATTTTAAAAACTAACGAAAGCCTTATTTTTCGAAAAAACTAGCGGGGTAAATCCACATAGATCCTACCACCATTACATCAACTTTTAGTGCAGAAGACGAGAAACACATTTCCAGATGCAGTTTTGGACGCTGATTCCATTAGTGAAAACCACAGCTCTCTAGCATTGTTAGAAAAAAAGATATAAGGAAAATATGTTCCCAGTGGAAAGTCGGATTTTTCATCGTTTTCCAGCAGAAACGACCTCTTTTGCAAGTCATTTTTAGACCTCTTATCCCTGTCGTAAAACCTTCGTTTTTGTGTCAAATGAAAGAGGAAGTCGACTTCTGCATAAATCGATGAAAAAATGTCATGCCCATACTCCGGAACAAGCTCTTAGACAACATGACTTTCTAGAAAACCAGTTTTTCAGGAACTCTAAAGTATAACAAGAACCTTTATTAATGATGTATGATTGTAGCCCACAAATTTCTGATTAAAATGAGACATCTCCCACCTCGACATGATCTTTCTTTCCAAAGTTATAGATTACAACCAAAGTATTAGATTAATTTACAAGAAAAGCCCTAAATGTTCATTGTCAGCTCAAAGCTACAGAAATAAGAAGGAAAAAATTAATTTAGGGCTTTTCTTCTAAATTCTATAACTTTGGAAAGAAAGGTCATGTAGAGGGGGGAGATGTCTCATTTTAATCAGAAATTT